AGATTTGTTCTTCATACTTTACAGCGTAACATCACGCATTTAGCCGTAATGACACGTAAAACAAACATAAAACTCGGTATTTTGAAAGGGTGAAACTGGAAAAGCCTAACTTTTGAATGGCAAATAAGCTTTCTTCAACCCATTTGGAACGATTTCTAAAACGGAAACAAATATCAGCTTAAGCGTTTATAACGCGAAATATATCGCGCGTTAATATTCCCAACTTGGCCAGACTGGCAATCTTTGAACCTACATATCTTAACAAAAACAATGAAAGGTGAAAAATTTTTTCAATTTTAGGTTCAGGACTTCAATTCCTTTTGAAGGATAATTTAAAAAATCCGTCAAAAATGGCTAGTTTAAAAAGTCGAAATTTGTCTGAAGAAAAAACCACCCCGAGCACAATTATTCCGCTACTTTCGTTACCAAATTCGGAACAAAACTGGTCGTATCAGAGTGAATCCCTGAAAGTTCCGACTGCCTTTTAAGTTCTATTGAGCAAAAAACATGAAAAAATTAAATGCAATAAAATAAATTGAAAAGAAAAATTTGCAATTTTTTGTGAAACTCATACCCCCACACGCTATTTTAAGTACAAAATGATGAATTTCGCTCCTATTAACAAATCGACTATGGCAAACAAAATTCCTTCGAACAATTTGGAACGATTTATAACACGGATTGAAAATCCGCTTACGCGTTAATAGCGCGAAATGTATCGCGCGTTGATTGTCCGAAATTAGCCAAAATGTCAATCTTTAAACCTCCATAGTATTTTTTCCGAAAAATGATCACAGTTGGAAAAATCTTTCCAAACTTAAGCTCAGGACAACAATACGTTTTGGCTCTTTTCCAGTTCCCCCCTTTCAATTTTGAAAAGTCTATTTAACGTTGTCACAATGCAATGAAAATTGGCTTGGTGAACAAATCGACAACTGCGAACAGATTTGTTCTTCATAATTTACAGCGTAGAATCACGCATTTAGCCGTAATAACACGTAAAACAAAAATAAAACTCGGTAATTTGATAGGGGGAAACTGGGAAAGAGCCTACCTTTTGAATGACAAAAAGAACTCCGTCAAAAATGGCTAGTTAAAAAGTCGAAATTTGCCTGAAGAAAAAAACCACCCCGAGCAAAATTATTCCGCTACTTTCCTTACCAAATTCGGAACAAAACTGCTCGTATCAGAGTGAATCCCTGAAAGTTCCGACTGCCTTTTAAGTTCTATTGATAAAAAAAAACATGAAAAAATTAAATGCAATAAAATAAATTGAAAAGAAAAGTAAAATTTGCAATTTTATGTGAAAATCATACCCCCACAAGCCATATTAAGTACAAAGTGATGAATTTCGCTCCTATTAACAAATCGACTATGGCAAACAAGTTTCCTTCGAACAATTTGGAATGATTTATAACACGGATTGAATCTCCGCTTACGCGTTAATAGCGCGAAATGTATCGCGCGTTGATTGTCCCAAATTAGCCAAAATGTCAACCTTCAAACCTCCATAGTTTTCCGAAAAATGATCACAGGTTGAAAAATCTTTTCAAATTTAAGCTCAGGACAACAATATCTTTTGAATGACAAAAAAATTCCGTCAAAAATGGCTAGTTTAAAAGTCGAAACTTGTATGAAGAAAAAACCCACGCGAGCCCAAGTGTTCCGTTATTTTCGTTAGAAAAGCCGAACCAAGACTGCTCGTATCAGGGCGAAGCCCTAAATGATCCCACTGCCTTTTAAGGCATATGGAGCAATAAATAACATTAGAAAAAAATAATGCAAAAAAAATAAAAAGAAAACCAAAATTTGAGTTTTTTTAATATCATCACCCCACACGTCATATAACATGCAAAGTTATAGATTTCGCTCCTAGTAACAAATCAATTATCGCAATTAAGCTTCCTCTAACCAATTTGGAACGATTTCTTTGACGGATTAAAACGGAAACAAATATCAGCTTAAGCGTTTATAACGCGAAATATATCGCGCGTTAATAGCCCCAACTTGGCCGCAATGGCAAATTTTAAACATCCATAATTTTACAAAAAGGATGACAAGTGAAAAATCTTTTTAATCTTAGTCTCAGGACAACAATAACTTTTGAATGATATTTTTAAAAATCCGTCAAAAATGGCTAGTTAAAAAGTCGAAATTTGTCTGAAGAAAAAACCCACCCCGAGCACAATTATTCCGCTACTTTCGTTATCAAAGACGGATCAAGGCTGCTTGTATCAGGTCGAAGCCCTAAATGTTCCCATTGCCTTTTAAGACCTATGAAGCAATAAATAAAATTAGAAAAAATTGAATGCAAAAAAAATTTAAAAAAGAGTTTTTTTTTGTGAAAATCATACCCCCACAATCCATATTACGTACAAAATGATAAATTTCATTACTAGTAACAAATAAATTACGGCAAATATGCTTTCTTCAACCAATTTGGAACGATTTCTATAACAGATTAAATCTCCGCTTACGCGGTAATAGTGCGAATTATATCGCGCGTTAATAGTCCCAACTTGGCCAAAATGGCTATCTTTAAACCTTCACAAATTTACCAAAAAAATAATTTAAGGTGGAATATCTTTTCAAACCTATGCATGACAATAAGTCCTTTTGAAGAAGAAGAAAATTCCGTCAAAGATTGGCTAGTTAAAATTCGAAATTTGTCTGAAGAAAAAAACTCACCTCGAGCACAAATGTTCCGTTATTTCCGTTACGAAAGTCGGAAAAAGACTGCTCGTATCAGGGCAAAACACTGAACTTTCCGACTGCCTTTTAAGATCTATGGAGCAAAAAATAATCTAATAAAATTGAATGCAATGAAATAAATTGAAAAAAAAAAATTTAAATTTGATTTTTTTTTGAAAATCACCCCCACACACGCCATATTAAGTACAAAACGATAAAATTCTCTCCTAGTAAACAATAAGCTTACGGCAAACAAGCTTTCTTCAACCCATTTGGAACGATTTCTAAAACGGAAATAAATATCAGCTTAAGCGTTTATAACGCGAAATATATCGCGCGTTAATAGTAGCAACTTGGCCAAACTGGCAATCTTTGAACCTACATAACTTAACAAAAACGACGAAAGGTGAAAAATCTTTTCAATTTTAGGTTCACGACTTCAGTTCCTTTTGAAGAATACTTTAAAAAATCCGTCAAAAATGGCTAGTTTAAAAAGTCGAAGTTTGTCTGAAGAAAAAAAACCACCCAGAGCACAATTATTCCGCTACTTTCGTTACCAAAGTCGGAACAAGAGTGCTCGTATCAAGGTGCAGATCTGAAGGTTTCGAGTGCCTTTTAAGGCCTATGGAGCAATAAATAACATCAGAAAAAATTGATGCAAAAAAATAAAATGAAAAAAAAATCAAAATTTGAATTTTTTTTTGAAAATCATACTTCCACGCGCTATATTAAGAACAAAGTGATGAATTTCGCTCTTAGTAACAAATGATTTACGGCAATAAGCTTACTTCAACCAATTTGGAACGATTTCTATAACAGATTAAATCTCCGCTTACGCGGTAATAGCGCGATAATTGTCCCAGATTAGCCAAAATGGCAAGCTTTAAACCTCCATAATTTTACAAAAAAAAGATCACAGTTGGACAAAATATTTCAAATTTAAGCTCAGGATAACAAGTCCTTTTGAATGACAAAAAAATTCCGTCAAAAAAGGCTAGTTTATAAGTTGAAATCTGTCTGAAGAAAAAACCCACGCCGAGCCCAAATGTTCCGTTATTTTCGTTAGAAATGTCGAAACAAGACTGCTCGTATCAGGGCGAAGTCCTAAACGTTCTCACTGCCTTTTAAGGCCTATGGAGCAATAAATAACATTAGAAAAAAAATGCAAAAAAAAAATAAAATGAAAAAAATCAAAATTTGAATTTTTTTTTTGAAAATCATCCTTCCACACGCCATATTAAGCACAAAATGATAGATTTCGCTTTCATTGTTCCGACTTTCTTTTCGAAAGTCGAAACAATGATAGTCTGTTTTAAAATCCTTAGCATTGGCTCTACTTTATAGCTGGTTATTGATTAAACTTTCAAAATGAACACATTTTACCGCAAAAAGATTTGAGACTTAGGTTCAAACAAAAGATAGTTCATACTATAACGCAAGCATTGCTTGTGTTATCAAATTATGCCAGGAAAATCTAAGCAAGATGTTTGTTTTAATGAACTACCAACCTCAGAATCAGCAGGTTCGTTATTGAAAAAAGAATAACTTTCCAAAAACTGGCAAAATTTCAAGAATTGGACACGTTCTAAAGCCATATTTTTTTCAAAATTCAGTAGATAGCGGCTTGCGCACTTGAAATTTGTGTAACTGATTTTTTTTCCTTCTGTTAAACCTTCAATCTCTGATTTGGCAAGGTAGTTTTTAAGAAAAAAAAATAAAATCTTTCCAAAAAACACGCTTTGGGTTTTTAACCCAATAATTTGACCTCAAAAAAGCTCGTAGGAACAAATGCAGCATCTAATGTAGCCCTATTTGTCGTGATTCTGCTTCCAAACAAAAAATCAAAAAGTTATCTCAGTTTCGAGAACAACGGTTCTGAAAATTGTCTGTTTAAACTAAATTAGATGAAAGTTGATGAGAGGCTGACCTCCCTTCTACAATTTTCACGTTATTTTACTACTTACAGTTGAACGTTTATTGAGGAATTGTTACCTCTCCTTCTTGCACGTTTTTGTCGACTTCAGTTGTTTCTCACGTACAGATTACAGCAAACTTACGAATTTTTTTCAAGTATATAATTTTTTTGATTATTTCAAATTCTTTTCTTAAATATGTGGTCGGAACCTTATGAGGCACTTGAACAGCAACTGACTCTCCATTTTAAATTCAAGCGTATCTGCGCTCCCAATTGCAGCAAAAAAACACAAGAAGAATGGACTTATGATAGGCAGCTGTTCTAACTGATTAGATGTGGTGACGTTTCAAAAAAAAAGACTAGAAATAAGCAGATATAAGAGACAGTGGCTTACTTGATGTATGTCCATGCTCGCTCTCTCCAGGGTGTCCTCGTCCTTTTTCAAGTAAATAGGAGCCGAGGTCCCATTGAGCCCGAATAGGACAAGGCATACTCTGCAGTCAGTGCCAGCGTTCTCCAAGTCACCCGTCTGCACACTCAACTCAAACGACCGCTCTAAATAATAATAATAATTATAATTAATAATTGTAGTTCCTGCGAATCGCAGAGGACCTATCAATAGGCCTTAACAGTCCTGTCGAGGATAGTCCGTTTGTATTATTTCCCCACATTCCAGACTGTGTTATTTTGTTGAGCGAAGCTCTTTTTTCCGACTCAAGGCCGTTTTTGTGCGTCTAGAACTTTCACGTGGTACCACTTTTGCAGCCAAATTCGGTCAGGTTGTGGTAGACCTGAAGCTAGAGTTCAAGTGAGAGCTCGTCCTCACACACTATCATTGCCATGGCATGGGATCGAATACACGATCTGACGATTTCAAAGTGAACGCCATACCACTGTGCTAAGTGCCTCCTTAAATACGCATTTATTGCTTTTAAATAAATACGCCCTTATTGCAGCTAACTGCACAAAACTTCTGAAATTGTTATAAATGGCATAAGAGTCTTGTATTGAAGCGAAAAACATGAATATAACGCTCTTTAAAATGCAAACAAAGTTAAACTGCAAGTTTAATCGTTGAAATAGAAGTATAAGAAAGAAGTTTTTCCAACTTGGCTTGTAGTGGGCGCGTGCGGCATCGAGCACATTCAGCGTCCTCTCGGTGAGTCCGTCATCCTTATCCTTTGCCAGCCACCTGTCACAGGGGAACAGCACATTCACCCCCCTCTGGGGCATGTCCACTTCCACACTCTTCACAAACCACCCCTGTCCCGACTGCACTCCATCATGGCCCAGCTGAACCACCACAAGAACAAGCAATTAAAAACCCATGTTGTATTTAATAACGTCTTAGATTAATTACACCTTGAAGATCAAGCTATCTATCTCTTATTTTGTAAAGCACAACCTGATGGTGAATCAGCCATCAGCGACATAAAATTAAATACAATTTCCCATCAACATCGCCACATCTTACCGTTGTCGGTTTCAAACTTTTCAACTTGAAAAACTACGAATATTTGACGGGGTGAACCGTAGCGGCGACAAAAATCAATTAACAAGAAAATAATGCTAACTGATCAGAATTGAGATGTTCAGAATCAGTTTTGATTGGTTCAAAGAATCTTTATGGATTGGTTTATCTGCCGTTCGGACCTTCTGCCATTACAAAAGTCCCCATTTTGACCCTTTCATTATTGCAAAACTTGCAAATATTTGACAAGTCTGCAGTTTCGTTCTGAAGCAGTACAACAGCGCCGAAAAACAAAATTGTTCGACAGTGCCGAAAATCATCAAATTTCAGCATTTTTGAACAATATTTTAATTTTCGGAACTTGAACAAATGACTTACCGTGATCTGTTTGATCTCATTCACAGGTGGTGCCTCGATTGAGAATGTATCTGTGCATCCTGGCTCGAACCCCTCTTTGTCCTTGAGAATGAGCGGCAACTTCCCCGTATCCTTGTTCTTCTCTCCCTTGCCAACCCCAGTGATCACTATGTAGGCGTTGGCAGTCGTCCCACAGTCCTTCTCACTGTCTGTCTCAACTTTGATTGTGTAGGGCACCGCTGCACAACAAAACATATATAATCTCAAGTGTATCCAGACCTCGTTTCAGAACAGGACAATCAAAGGTAACAAGTCCAATAGTGAAAAATTAAATTGTCAATCAACGAAGATCAGCCCTGATCAATCATCTCTATCAGGGATTTCACAATATGAAAATCACAGCCCCCACTGCCTTCATAACCTTTGCTACCTTTACTTGTTGGTTTTTTAGGATGATAGGGGACAACGCCGAAGCTATTTTGTGTACATACCATCTACAATACCAAGAAAAATACATGATGTTTCTTCTTGTCTGAACTTGCAGAATGTTAAGGGTGATTGGTTGATAGGAGCTGGAACATTGATTCTATCTAGTTTGCATAATATGTCAGCATACTTTAATTGCGCCTTCAGATAATCAGGAAATCGCATCCGAGGGACGACCCCAATTCAGCCACGCGTTAAAGTAATACATAACTTAGTTGCTTGACAAAAAGATGCACTACTGACTGGGCCCTTCGAAGACTGGCATCTCCATTTGTATCTTGTTTCTCTTGCCGGGACTACTCTGAAGAGAACTCATGCTCATGTTCATCATGGACCCTCTCGTGCTCATTCCAATCGTACCCATAGTGGTCACACTGTCCCGGTCTCCTTCGTAGCCCTGCATCAGATACTCGCCGTATAACATTGACCATCACTCAGAAAATTGGACACAGATGCGAAGCTGCAATTTGCAAACACAAGCAAAAAAACGCCAAGAAGCAACTTCAAAAAGGTCATGGAAAACGCAAAAAAAAAACTATTAATGAGTTTTGGAAAAACAACGCCCTCTACTGTAACAAATTGGAAAGCATGAAGCCATAGTATGCATAAATTATGCATTTCAAAAAATTGCGAGATATATTGAGTTGAAAAATTTCCGAAACCGAGTTTTTATTATTATTATGTTGTTTGAAACAAATCACAGAATTAAAAATGCATCAACTATGTTAATTTATTACCATTTGAACATCAAAGCATATGCTATGAAAAAGCTGTAAGATGCCCCACCATTATTGGGGTGCCGCACCAATATTTGCCACTTAGGTTGGGGAAAAAAAGAAGGTTCGTGCTAATACACAAGCTTCGCAAAGATAATCAATAGGTAACCTTTTATTCCACTGATAAATCTCAAAATCGAAATTTTATTCGATCCTTAATGTCACTCACGTTTTTTCGAGCCATTTGAAAAAAAAGACGACTTATTTACGCGGCAAGCCACACGACTTATTTACGCGGCGAGCCACCCCATTTATTTACGCGACTTTGATTTAGTTCATTGGCACTTGAGACAAAGGGATATTTGAACTAATTGTGCCTCAAATCCATATTCTTTCGCTGGTTTCTTAGACAGAACTATTATTAAAAAGCGCAAACAATAGAAAAACCTTGCCATCAGGTAAACTTAAAACATAGCCAACAGCTAGTTGGAAAGGAATTAGGAAAAGACACCGACTTGTGTTTTGAAAAAACTTCAACTTTCGAAAAACACAAAAAAAACTATATGGCCTTGCTCTTTCAATTTGAAGAAAAAATTACGTTTGTCATTTTTTACATGAAAATAACCCAATGTGAGAAAACTGGGTCAATAAGTAAATTTTTTATATCACTGGGAAACTGAAGATTAAAATCCGTTTTCGAAACTAGAAGCTGATCACGCTGTTCTTTAGTTTTGAGTTTTGCTCTTCATTAGTGAAAGTTGCCTTCTTTTCAATAAACGAAATAAAGTGAACTCTAAAGGAATCAAAAGTCACGCCGCAAAAAAAATTAAAAGCATGAACAAAAAAATCGCCAAGACTTAAAGAGTATTCACTACAATCATGAATTATAGAAATAAATGAACTAAAGGAAATTAAAAAAAAAACAATCATCTTCGAGGCAAGTAAATGAAGCTGGTACAATTAATGCAAGTTTATTTCAGAGCAAATTACATCACTGTAAAGCACTTTTATCACTGTAAAGTGCTTGTATGATCGTGAACTTTATTGATTAAACTAGTTGCAATATGAATTCCTAATTTGACAAAATAAGAACATAGCCAACTCACAATTGGAAAAAAGTCATAATGCAAGAAAACGAAAAAGACAAAAAAACCACAAGTCAAACCGCGAAAAATCAAATTCGAGCATGAACAAATGTAAAGACTTTTTTCTGAAATAAAAATACCTATATAAGATTATTCACTATGTTTATGACTTTTAACGAATAATTATTTTTGCCTTCCAGAGGGCATTCTCAAAATTCAAAAACAAGTCTACTTGAAATAAAAAAAGCGAATTAGAGGAAGTTTCGTTTTCGTTATCGGAAAGCGTAATTGGAGCTCTACCGGCGAATGATTTGGAAAGTCGAGAGTTTTGCAACGCAAACCACCAAATTAGAAAATTGGAAATAAACAATTTTAAAGAATTTTCGGGAAGATACCTTCGCATACAGGGTGCAGTGAGTTTTTTGAGCCGTATTTTTGGACTTGTCCTTGCTTAACCACCGCTCTGCATGAAACACTGCGACATCTGACCCGGCGGCAACAGTCTGACCTCTACCGCCGCCCACCTGTTTGACCTCTATTCTGTCCAGGTACCATGAGGCATTGGCGAGTCCACTGTTATCGTGTCTCACATCTAGCTTGTACAGTCTGCCTAAGTCTACTGCCTCCAACGCGAACTGGTCCATCTGTAGAAAAAGAAGACAAAGACGGTTATAAGGATATGCAAGCAGGTAGTCGAGAATACATACAATGAGTCAACGCATGGTTCATAAGGGAAGTGTAGTTCAGATGTACCCATGACATAAAATTAAGCAGCTGGTTCTTTGATTTGCGACAAAACGGAAAATGCTGTTCTCGTGTGAGTGGAGGTCCATGCTTTGCGAGTTTTCTACCTAATAACTTTTTTACCTAATAAAATAAGTGACATGAAGTTCAAATTTCGTATATTGTCTCACATTTCCCTTCTCGAACTTGTCCATGTGCGTACTGGATTGGGCCAACTTCCTCTCCCCTGAGTCTCCCAGCTGCCCAAACAGAGTAATAAACACATTGGCATCGGTGCCCGCCCCACTCTCTTTGCCCGTGTAAACAAACACCTCGTACTTGACCGCTAAAAATATTTTAGTTCAAAAATATAAAACTATGATTACTTGCACTCATTAGAACTCGCTCGTGAACAGAAAACATCAACTCACCTCTAGGCAACTAGTTTTAGTAACAAAAAGGCTTGAAATAAAATCATGAATAAAACGCTGATTAAAAAAGGAAAAAACAGAAAAATGTTCATAACTCAAGGAAGCCAAACAAATGACAGATTTTTTGAACTTTCCGGCCAGTTCGAAAACATCTAACATCTTGACGAGAGATTTTTTCGGTTACCCTATAACAAAAACTGCCAGATAGAACGGGCATACGCAACCTCAAATTAGGATTTTTTTAAAAATTTTTCGGCAATTATCGCAACATTACCGCCAAACGGAAAAACTTCTGATGAAAAACTTATATTAGTAGGAAAACGATAGCTTTGATCTAGCGCAAGAAATTTTAATACGAAGTTTCAGCTTGTTTTATTGCCTCAAACATTTAAGCAAACTTCCATTTAATTTAGCAAATTTCCATTTGACTTTCTCATGATCAAATGTAAACATTTTGTCGCGACTCGGTGTGGTTTTCGTTCTACTGACAAAATTTCTCGCCCGAATGCCCAAAATGTATATCTATATTTCTTATGATAAAAAAGAGCAGCCAATTTTAGAATTTGCTCTTTACTTCGAGAACGAAAAACGCCCCAACTTTAAAATGTAATTAATAATGCATTGAAACATTTTTTTTTCGGTTTCAAGAAAAAATCAAGATCTTTTCAGTTATCTATACGAGCTATAATAAATCTTTCGTGCGTGTGGATATGTTAAATCGTGTACTCCTAATCGGCTGAACCAAAAGAAACTATTTATTTTTGCATAGTGACAAAAAGAAGCTGGTCTGAAAACTTTTTTGGTCATATAATTTCTTGATTATTATAGGCCAAACATTAGGGCAATTTTGCAAGATGGAATTCTTGTCAATGGTTGCACTACAGAGTTGATGCCACTATTAATGATACAAAAAAAAAGATTTTGCGTTTAATTTTTTCAAACGAAAGTACGACATTTTCCAAAAAATCCTCAAAATTTCGAAACTTGCCTAGGGCCATATTTTTTTTTCAAAACTCTGAGCATAGCCGTTCGCGCAGATAAAATTCGTTTAACTGATTTTTTCTTTCGGTTAAACACTTCATCTCCGATATGGCAGGGTAGTTTTTGAGAAAAGTCACTAAGTCTTAAAAATTAGCCAAAATGTGAAAAAAGGGTTTGTTTGAGGCCACATCTTTTTTTTCTACCAAATTTAGGGAATAGCCGCTTGAGAAGGGAAGATTCCCTTAATTTGGTCTTTTGATTGAAACCTTCATCTCAAATTTGTGCATTGATTATTTGAGAAAAGGAAAAAACTGAAAACAAATAGGCCAAAAATCGCCCTACTGAAATTTTCGAAGACCGTAGAACGAAAAATGAAGAGTGAAATGAAAAGAGTAAAATGAAATGAGACTAGCTAAAAATGCAAGCATATAGAAGAGCAGCCAATTTTTCCGTTGGTAACATTTTTTATGAAAATCGGTACAGTAGTTTGAGAAAAATTGATTCTTGTGCGACAAGTGCAAAAATTTTCCAAAGTGTCGCAAAAATAACGAAAAACAACAAACATCACACATTTTCATGACACACGATTTTTTTTTTTGCAAAATCGACCTAACACTAGCCAAAAAGAAATATATTCCATTAAATTGGTTATTCTTAAATATGATTAAATTGAAATATACCTTAAAGTGCCACCAACTGAGCACTTTCATTTGCGACTTAGGTTAGAAAAAAATCTTGTAATAATACACTTCGCTTGTAGAAAAAAATCTCCGTAATAATACACTACGCTTCGTTTGTGTTATTACTCACAAGATTCAGAGGGATCTAGATGCATGTCTTCTCGTTCTACTTGTCCTCTCTTTAGATCAACTGTCTCTCTGTAGCCCTCCGAGGGGACAAGCTCACGCACAATGGCCTTGTCATCCTGTCCATAATCTAACCAGCGGTCACACTTGAACTTATACTCCACTGAGTGCTAAAAACATATAGATGTCTGATATAAAAAAAATAGCTGAACAAAGATAATTAAAAAGGTACATGCGATATACAAGGGCGAAAGAGTTCATGTTTTCATTCATTCTCATAAGAGAGCAATAATTCTATTTATGGGCTCAGGGATGATTTTATACATTCAATTTTTGGATATTGAAAATTTTTTCCATCGAAATAAGATATACCATAATTCAAGGCAGCGTCAGCTAGAGGCAATGATTTCGTACATATTGCGCCGATGTTGAAGGCACCCTTTTGCTATTTACATACAGTTCTGATAAGAAAACGTTTGAACGAAGATCCTAATACCGCGTCAACAAGTTTGTGTTCTTCTCGCTTGTTTTAATGTAGTTCTACTGCACTAACCGTTGGTACTATGATCATCTTTCGGATTGAGAGAGTGTGTAGGTGCCACCCATTGCCTCTACTCATGTTAGAGTGACCCACCCTCACTTTTCGGAGAGACTCCTGCACGTCCTCCATCTGAACAACGAATACAAAATCACCTTTGATAAAATCGTTTAAATTCGTTTACGTTTAGTGATTTGATTTATGCAAGTGAAAACCGGTAACAACAAAAACAGGATCCACTCAAACTAAAAAGCTGCTCTATCAAAACTTAAACTTGGAAATAATTGAAAAAGATCCCTTATAAACGTACAAAAGCTCTTAAATAAACGTACAAATTGAACTCACTTTTCTCAGATGTCCTTAAAGAAACGTACAATTCGGAATATATTTCTGCTCTAGTTTCGAAGTATTGGTTTTACGGCACGTTATAATGATTTCAAATCGCTACCTCCACAATGAAGGTGTCCTTTTGGCCTTTGTTGAACTTGTGTTTGCGACGTTGTTTGTTGGGTTCCAGGGAGTGCTGATCTGGCCCCCCTGTCATTTCCATCAGCTGCTGATCTCCTCCGTACACTGCGAGGAAAATATTAGAGTCTGTTCCTGCTCCTTTCAAGTCACTTGTCTCAGTCACCACTTCATAAGGCACAACTGAAACAACAAACACGTTCATATCTAACTATTCTGTCAAAAAAGGAATGCTTTCATGTTGTTGTTGTTGTTTTAACTATATCGATCTGTTTTGAATGTTAGATTGAATTGGAGAGATAAATTAGAGAGACAAGTTGTGTTAAATTATCTGTGTTAAGACAAGGTGTTGTCAGGGTTATATCGTCTGCATATGTAGTTACTTTGATGTTATCATTGTTAGATATAGGCGTTTTGGATTTGTAACGTTGAATATAACCGATCAAAACACACCACGTAGTGAGCCTTCCTGCGTTCTGATTTGGTCCATCTGAATTCAACATAAGTGTGCCTACTGAGAAAAAAAAACAGGAATCCATTTTTTGGTGTTATTAGATAATTCCGAGCTCGCTATAGAGCTGAAATGTTAGTACTCCAACCAGTTTTTACATAAAATAAGATGCAGTTTGGGTCCTTCTGTTTTCTGGTATTGTCGATCTTTCTTTTCTGATGCCGTTTTAGTGATCTTGAAATTCTATGTTGAAATTAAACTCCGATTGTAATACACTCATTACGAGTTTTGCTACTGGAGAGGGCAATGCAATTTGTCGGTAGCGTTTAGCCTGTTCGGGATATTTTCTCTGCTTCGCTAGGTGAGTAACTTTACTCCCACTTTCTAACTATCAAGTATTATTGCATTACTCACTGACAAGCCTATTAGTTTGCTTAGGTATTTGACGGTTTGTTTCTCGAAAAAAAAATATATTGCAAATTTATTAGGTGTAAAAGCTTAGCTTTTATTGCTGGACTTCCATTTGCGCCACGGTATCTTACCGATCGGCAAACACTAGCCACAAATAAAGCACAGAACAAACTTCCAAAGCTACTGATCGTGCTTATTGCAAGAGCTACCAAATGAGCAATTTTATTTGCAAGTTAGGTTGGAAACGAAAAAATAGGATCATGCTACATAGAGGCGAAGCTTCTCTTCTCAAACAAAAGCGAGAACATGACAAAAATGAGCTCTATAAAGTGCTATGAGAAAAATTAGAAAAAATTCTCAATTAGTAAAAGTTCGGATTCGTCTCCGATTCGATCTGCGAACTAGAGAATATGAGCCTCACGTACTAACCACTCAACCACGGACGCTTTAAAAACCAGAACCACTAGCCACAAATAAAGCAGAGAACAGATGCATGAAAATTCCGATGCTACAGATCGTGATTATAGCAAAAAGGCACACAAATAAATGAACACTTTCAATGGACACTTTTAATAGCGAGATAGGGTAGAAAAAAGACGGTTCGTACTAATACACTACGCTGCTCGCTAGAGTAAAAAAAATACGCTCGCCAGTGTAAACACTTGTCACCAATAAACCAGATACAAACGTATAATGCCATGCAGCAACAGTAGACAAAATATAATGATATTGCTGCAAAAGTGCCACCAAATAATGAGCACTTTTTTTTGCGACTTGGGTTGCGGAAAAACGATATCGTAATTATGACACTACGCTATGGTTATGTAAAACCGCAACACTAAAACACAGGCAACTGACAGTTGGAAATGAGTAATGAACGCAATGAAACTGAAACAAAAACTGACTTGTTTTTTTTTTCAAAAATCTTCAACTTTTGAATTTCGAAGAAAAAATAGATGGCCCTAAAGCTCTTTGAATTTTTAGAACAATTTATGATGGACAATTTCTTGTTAAAATTAACCTAATTGGAGAAAACTGGATCAATTAGCAAAACTTTTATTTCACTGGGATATCTGATAATTAATTTCCATTTTCGAAATCAGAAATCGATCACGTTTTTCGTGACCTTTACGTTTTTGCTGTTTGATAGTGGATTTTGCCTTCCTTTAAACAATTGAAATGCACTGAACTTAAAAAGAAATCATAAGACAAACCGTGAAAAATCAAAATTGAGCGTAAACAAATTATAAGACTTTCTCCTGAAAAATAAAAAACAAACAAAAAATCAGCAAGACCTATAAGAGTCCTCACTACGTTCATTACTCTTAAACAGAAATCATTTAAGGAAATTAAGGAATGATAACTCGCACTAACTGAAACACCCTAATTAACGTAGATAGTGCAAAATTACAGCGAATAAATGAGTTAACAAATGATGGACATAAACAGAGTGCATCAATTAACTAGATATGGTTCACGTGAAAATGACTTCAAAGCAATTCTATAATGACTCTTCCTTTTAGCAACTGATTTGAAGAGATGTACTAACATGGCTGGAATTGTGTGCATTGGGCGTCTTGTCTCGGAAGCTTGCGCTCGATGCGGGAGTCGTCTTCGGAGGTGGCCAGCCATCTGCCACAGGGGAATGTCCACATGCGACCCAGGGTAAGACACTCCACTTTGACCATCTCGAGGAACCAGCCACTGCCCACACCACTGTCGTCGTGACCAATCCTTGAAGAAAAAAATGTAGTTGTGAGAAGAATTGAGCAGTTTATAGGGAAGAAACATTATTTTATAACAGAGGCGAAGCTGCGCTTCGCAAGCACTAGCGAAAACACGACAAAAAAGCAACTTGTTTGCAATTAATAGCTTATGTTGTTTGAAACAGATAGCTTTTTTCGGTCCATGGGATGAATTAAAATGCATCAACAGTGTTAACTTTTTAAATAGTCGACACAGAGGCAAAGCAAGCTGCGCTTCGCAATTACTTGCGAGAACACGACTAAAAAGCAGCTCTATCACGTGACATAAGAAAAAGTACAAAAAAGCCTCGAATTTGTTAAAACTCGAGGCTTAGAAAAACCTCGAATTAGCAACAATCTGCGACCTAGCAAATTTGAGCCTCATGCACTAACCATTCAGCCACGGATGCTTAAAATCCCCCAAAACAAGCCACCAATAACACAGCTACACCGAAAAATAACCAAAAAAATTGCATGTAGTTCTTCTTAAGCAGGGGCACAACAGCGGTTCGCCGTGATGAGCTGTACAGCTCGTATGTTGGTCCTATCCCTCGTGGATAAATGATCTTAATGACATATGCTAATAAGTGCCAATTCGACGCAGCAAAAGTAGCACCAAATACAAAAAGATACAACTTAGCATGTAATAAATTGCAACGCATAAAGCCACATTATGTATAAATTATGCATTTCAAAAAATTGCGAGATATATTGAGTTAGAAAGTTTCTGAAATCGAGATTTTATTATTGTTATGTTGTATGAAACAAATAGCTTTTTTCGGTTCACTTGATGAATTAAAAAGGCATCAACTGTGTAAACTTATAAGTATTCGAATGTCAAAGCACATGTTATCAATAAGCTGTAAAGGTGCCACCAATAGTAGCACCAATATTTGCGACTTCGGTTAGAAAAAAAGAAGTCGTACTATCACACTAACACTCACTAAAGTTGGCAAGTGTAATAACACCAAAAATTCAAAACTAATTGATATAAGGCAGGGCACGAAGATTCTACGCGTCGAATCTATTAACGCATTGATTACTGAAACATTTAGGAACTCAAAAAGGATCAACTCGTCGTGCGATACCTTAACTATGGACAATATTAGAGAAAAACCTAGAGAGAAAGTGATGAAGTATACTCACGTGATGGCTTCTAGGTACCCAATTCCAGTGGCTTGTATTTCGAAAGAGTCACACTTATCACTCTCGAATAGATTTGAATTGCTGCTGGTACAGACGCGGCTGTTCAACCAGGCAACTGATCCCGTCTCTTTTTCTCCATTCAGATGGATGTAAACATTGGCATTTGTTCCTCCTCCTTGCTTAGATCCAGTATAAACATGCACAGTGTATGTCTGTATTAGGCTGCGAAGCTCTAGACCTAGACTGTCTCTAATTGCAGTGGGCGATATCTGCTGCTGATTTGGGGGTACTTTTGCCTCGACCAGTTGTGGCGATAGACAGGGTATGGTATGACTCACTTGACCCTCGTCTGATGACAGTCCCAGCCACCTCTGGCAGGGTAACAGCCACTTGCTACATTAAACAAAACTCCATCTCGCATCGCATGAGCACAGAAATAAACAGTTGGGTAGATTAATCGTCCATAGATTTTGCAATGATTGTTGAGCTTATTACTTCGCCTCGCAAAAGAAGATAATTGTTGTTTGTCCGTAAGTGGAAAATTATGTTTCTGTATATTGACTGGATCTGGGCTATAAAAGACTGTAAAAAAAACGGGATCTATTGAGATCTGACTTTTACCTTCTGTGTTTGTTGTGCAGAATTTCAACATGCAGTGAATCCAAAAACCAAGTCTCTTTCGAACTCTCCAGACGCACCACTGCATGACTCAACTCGCCCAGGTGTACACATGAAGGCAAGGAGAAGTGGACACCTTCTCCTCCAGCCTCAAGTTGAACCAGTTCGTCCCTGGGGAGTCTGCGGACACGTCGCATGCCAGTGTCGCCCAGTGACCCATAGAGACATACGGAGACTGCCGCTTTGGCCGATGCTCCCTCTACAACTCCGGTATTCACAGTCACTTCGTACTGCAGCGAAACTAAAACAATACACAAGGAACAAAATAAACAGCTTAAAAAATTGTTACTTTAAAAAGTTTGCTTAATTGCGTAGTTCATCTTTTTAGTCGGCTTTTCTTATAGTAATCAGTGAGCCATATTATCCAGCCAATGAGTCGATTAAATACTGCATGAAGTGGGTGCTGTATGCCGAAGACACGCAACTTTGAAAAAAAAGCACTGGGATCGAGAAGACTGAAATAGAAATAAACTCACAGGAATTCGGGTCTAACAAGTCACCATTGGACTTAACAGGTGCAAATTCCGCAACTGTTTGTTGGTCTCCTTCGTCAAGAGACAGCCATCGTTTGCATTGGAACAAATAATGCAGCGGGGTGCTCGTCTTTCGTTTTGACACACTGCTGTACTTCTGATTGGCACCAGTCTTCCGTTTGTCTCTTTCTTTGTCCTCTGTAGAAGAGCCATTCAAAGCGGAAACACTCGCGTTCCTTCGCATAGGGGAATCAGACACTGACGAACTCTGCCTGCTCAACACTCCCCGCCCTTCCCTATCCGCGCCTTCTTTTTTTCTCGCATTTTCTCCGCCTTCCTCTTCGCCCAATGGGGGACGGGTTACGGTAATCTAAACATATTTCACCATATTCAGATGATTCGTTCACATGTTTCATATTATTCGAATCTAATTATTCGTGCGAATTCCTCATGGCGGAAGGATCGATTTCTAGGAAACTATATCAGTCAAGCAGATCTGAGTATTCCAAAAGTCGGACAGAAAGCATCACTTCCAAATTGGCCATGCGAGCTGTCTCTTCGCTAAACTAACCAAGAGAACGATTACCCTTAGAAGATAAACGGAAAACTTGAGCGCGCAAAAGAATGAATTGCGATTGTCTGAAAAAATCCCTAATAATCAAATAACCTATCTCCCCCAAAATTGATTTTAGATTTTATTGGTTGGAAATGATCTACATTCCATCGTTATGTCAGGAGAACAGCCCCCCTCTCCCATTATTTCAATACTTTGCAGATTTCGGGTTTACTTTTGCACCTGATTCAGATGGTTTTTTATATACGTGATTCACACTATTCTGATGCATGTAATCACTCATGTTTGAATGTTTCATTATTTCTGTTATAATCACCAAATACACTTTTATTCACCAAATCCGATTTTACTAGCAACGATGTTAGCTGAAGTAAAAAAAAAACTGTTAAAGCTGAGTAGACTGACTTTCTCTATGTGCCATGAGAGATCAACACTTCCTCTGTCTCTGTTAGTTCCGTCTTCCCTCCTCTCCGCGTCTTCGTCAAGCCAGACTCTGATCTTGCGCACCTCTCCAATCTCCCGACAGTAGAACTAAACAGTAGGAAGTACACTCAGAAAACTACCAGACAAAATAACTAGCATCAGTACACCACATAGCATCAAAATTTGAAAGAAACCGGAAAACCTTAAAAATGAAACTATTCATCAAATCCAGAGAAAATCAATTCGGTTAGAATTATCACAGGATCAACATAATTAGTGATCTAGATGCTAACAAACTTAGGATCAATGGAAAAACTTTAATATTCGAATTTGAGAAAACTTGAAGAATAGAAACTGGAAACTATCAACCACAATTGTGTAAGAAATTATTCATTTTAAAAAAATCGCAAAATATATTGATACTTATTTCGAATTTTAATTTTAAAGTAAAAATATTTGGCCTTAAATCTCTTTGAATTTCAAGACAAAGTTTTCATTAACGCTATTTTGATTAAATTAACTCAATTTGAGAAAACTGGACCAATAAGTAAAAATTAGATTCCGCTGAAAAATCTTAAAATTAAATTCCACTTTCGAACCCAGAAGTCGTTCAAGTTTTTTCGCACCATTTTCACATTCGTATTCGGAGAGTGCTATTTGACGAAACTTTCAGCAGATGAATTTTCAGTAAACTCAAAAAGTGCACAAATACATACATGCATTGACTACATTCATGACTCTTAAATACTGACTAGCCACCAATAAAGCAGCTACAAAATGAGCACTTTTCTTTGAGAGTTTGGCTGGAACACATCAGATTCGTAATATAACACTTATCTCGCGTGTAAAAAAAGTGTCAATGAACAAGGAAAATAGAGAAGTAACAAAAAATTGATTTTACTCTTGGGAATAAAATATTATTTTGAATTTTTCTTAATGATACCTTTTTCATCAAAAACCAATCTGATACGAAAAAATTGGGTTTATAGGTAACAAAAAATATTCACATTTGTCGCACTATTTTCGCTTTCATGATTGGAAAGCGTAATTTGTCTGCTCTTTAGGAAATGAAATTGAATTGAAGTTCAAGGAAAAAAATTCAAGTAATTATTAGAATGTGCTAACCTTGAATCGAGACGTTTCACCAGCTTCAAAGTTACCAGTCCTGTTTTCCATTCTGAGTGGCCTCGACTTCAGTCCATTGGACCCATAGATGACCAAATAAGGACTACACTCAGTTCCACACTCTACGCCATCCATTTTCGAAGTCTTAACGACCACATCAAAAGGCACTTCTGAACAAAAAATAACTACATCTATCAGTAAAACATATTCCAGAAACAATGGGAAAGGATAGCGGGTTGCTGTGCAAGTAACACACAATGTTCCGACTACAACCATAAAACGTAAATAGGTGTTTTCTTTTTTGAGAAAACCTTTATTGCCAAAAAGCGCTGATTGAAGAAGCTTCCAAAACTTTTTTTTTGAAAAATCAAGTTTTTTCAGCCTAAAATTTTCAGAAAAATCTAAATTCTCATAATGAACGTTACTATATCGCTTCACTCGCTCGAAATCGAACTTAAAATCATATGTTTTAGGCCAATTTTTCACGACTCAAAAATTTGCCTCAATGTCATTCGGATCACGACTTTAATATGATATATCACTCGAACCATTCCGATGTTTTTTGTGGTACCTGATTTTGCGTAGAAAAAAAAACAAAGACACTCGAATACGAATTTCCTTCCCATTTTTAATGGCCGGAACTAAAAGTGTTTGAAGAAAATATCCAAAAAAATTCCAAAAACGCGCAAATGTAGATAATGGAATATCGTAATTGAAAGCTTTAGCTATCGATACTTTAAATCTAGACTCATCAAATTCTTTAAAACCGTCACAGAAATGCCCGCTTCAAAAAAATAGGTTAAAATCTCAATTCAAATCAGTTGTATCAAGACAGGCTAGTCTGCGCCCAAATATTATTTCGGTATAGAAGAAGTGGCATCACAACAAAAAATACTCTTCACTAGTATCAAAAATGTACGAGTCACGAATACTGACTTGGTTGTGTGTTTTGCACTTGAGTAGGTTCGAGTTCCAGCTCTGTGCGGCCATCATCTTCCTGCCTGTCCAGCCATCTGTTGATACTGAACGTGTACTGTTCGCCCCTTGTGGGCACATCTATGTCCAGCTTGTCCACGAACCACCCACTTCCCGTTTCTGCTTCGTCATGGCCCAAACGCACCTTCTGTATCTGTAGTTCAAACCAAAATGAACTAAGCTTCATCGACATATACAGAAAATAACACACCAGCCACCAACCCTCAATTGCTACAACAGCGAGCTTCCATTGCTGGCTAAGAACGCACAATTGGATACAGAGGCGAAGCGGAGCTTAGCACCACTTGCGATAAGAAAAAAAAACAAGTCAAAAAAGAAAGAAAAATGTTGAAAAAAACTAGGTGAATTAAAAGTTTCTCGTCTCGATGAAAGATAACTGGGGGCCCAGTTAAAACTGGAGGTACCAATTTGATATTTTAGTAATTTGTTCTACTGATGCGGGACGAAATGCGTTATTTCAAAAATTGGACTTTTCCCAAAACCTTAGTTGTTTGTCTACTAAAATAAGTAAGTAGAACGGAAGTTTTTAGGTCTTAGCCACTTCGTCATGAAAAATTCTCACAGCCGTTTTTTTTTTCGATTGAACTTTTTATCTCAGATTTTTAAGGGTAATTTATAAAAAAAAAATTCAAAACGTTTTTAAAAAACGGTCAAAAACTAAAATCTTGACTTCCCGAATTCCCTATCTTTTTTCTGCAAGAAGCAGTTCGTGACCGCTGAATTAGAATAGATTACCAAAATCTGGTTTCTCGATTGAACACTTAACTTGATAATTGGCACGGTATTTTTAGAGTTAAGACAAAAGGAGTCCAAAAAACGGTCAATGTTTCACAACTTTGACTTCTTTGAAGATCATAACTTTTTTCTTTAGAAAAAATTGGGCGTAGGCAATTAAAAAGGTAGGCTTTCATCAACAAGTTGTTTTGATTAAGCAACTTTGAAATCGGGAAAAGTCCGAAAAGTTTCTATTTCAGTTTCGATACCAAGAAAACTCCGAAAAACGTTCAACTAATCAAAAATTTGACATTTCCCAGAATTATAGCTTTTTGTTTCAAAAAAATTGAGCACATACGCTTGTGCAGAAGAGATTCAACGAACCTGTACTTTTGATTGGGTGGTAGTTCGCGAAAAAACTCATCTTTTTGTGTCAAAAAAATTTGGGCGTAGTCAAAGCGTCTCAAAAAAACATTAAAAAAATTTTGTCTAAACATTTTTATCTATTTATAACTAACATGATTTCTAGGCAAACATCCCAAACAAAACAGTTGAAAAAATAAAGTTTCCAGTCCCCTCTAAAATTACAATGAACAACATTTGTAGCTAACAAGACATTTGCTTACAACGAAAAAAAAATCCGTGATGTGACTGCTAAGCCGACAAAACTTGAACAGATAAATGAAAGCCCAGCAAATCAATTTTTAAGGGATTTTTTTTCAATTGCACATTTATTGAAAAAACAAAGTCCGGCCTGGATTCGAACGCCAGACCATATGGTGCAAACAAAACGCCGTTACCTGTAGGCCAAGTGCGAAAGAACCTGAAAGTTGTTAAGATTCAACCATAGCCAACTAACACTTGGAAAAAAGTCTAGAACACAAGGAAACTGAAATTTTTTTTTTAATTTCGAAGAAAAAATAGATGGCCTTAAAGCCCTTTCAATCTGTACAACAATTTATAAAGAACACATTTTGTTAAAATTAACTCAATTTGAGAAAACTGGATCAATAGGTAAATATTTTATTTCGAGAAATCTGATAATTAAACTCAAAATCAGAAGTCGATCACGTTTTTGGTGACCTTTACACTTTTGCTGTTCGATAGTGGAGTTTGCCTGCCTTTAAACAATGTCAATGCACTTAACTTAAATAAAAATCACAAGTCAAACCGCAAAAAATCAAAATTGAGCGTGAACGAATTTTAAGACTTTTTTCCTGAAAAAAAAAACAAAAAAATCAGCAAGACTATATAAGTCATCACTACGTTCATTACTATTAATAATAAATCAAGTTGAAAATTTGTGAAAATTGTTTACGGAAAAAAGCCTAGTTCCCGATTAAAAAACGCTTGCTTTCGCAAGTATAAAGAGATAGATACTTAAAAAGAATGCAAACACTTCTATTCCAACAGAGATGGACAACGAAAACAGAGGCAACCCAGCCAGAACAACCTGTATGGATATTCTAGGATCTCACACCTTGAGGCAGCAACGTACCACGAGACCAGACAATAATCTACAACTTGAAAACCTGACGTTACTAGTGATGTTATTTGCAGTCCAAATTATGATGAAAATGGAATCGACAGTTTGAGAATTGACACAGTGAAGCCAATACAAACGATAAAACCGACAAAAATTAGCTCTTAAAAGGTCAACAAAGGAAAAAAGGAGAAAGAGAAATCAGAGATTCCGTTATATACCGGAATCAAACCATCGACCTCCAGATTCAACGTCGCACTTCTTAGCATCTGCGCCATTGCTGTTTCACAATAGTTGATCACTAGAGGCCCAGCTAAAGCTGGAAGTGCCCATTTAATAATGATTTTAAAATGTTCCAATACGAAAGGTTTAACTTAAAAGAAAAAAAAATTGCTAAATCCAACATTGTTTTCTACAATAATTCGGACGTAGTCACTATGATAAGACAGTTCCTAGCCCATGATTTTTCGATTAAACCCTTAACCTTAGATTTGGCAGAGTAGTTTTCGAATAACTCAAAAAAATTCCGAAAAACGGTCAACATTTAAAACTTGATTTTTGTATATTCAACATTTCCTTTCTAAACAGATGGACTTAGTTGCTATGCAGAGAAAACTCTTCTCACCTGTTATTTCGATTGAAAACTTAATCTTAAATTTGCCGTGTAGTTTTCTAAAACAAAAAAAGTCAAAAACTTTGAACAAAACTCAAAATTGTATTTTTCTAAGGGGATAATTCGTTTTTCATCAGGAAATTAGGGCGACCACTTGTGCAAAAAAGATTCACAAACCTTTCTTTCAATCAAACCCTTAACATCAGATTTGGCAGAGCAGTTTTTGAGAAAAGTCGAACTTTTCAAAAAAACGTTCAAAACTCCAAATGGCCATACCTTTGCTATTACAAAAATTTCAAACTAACCATTTACGCAATGAAGATTCCTAGCTCCTAGATGGTTTTTGCGATAAACCTTTAAACCTATGATTTTGCAAGATAGATTTCGAGAAAAAGAAGAGGTGTCCTAGAAACGATTCAACTATCAAAATTCGTACATTTTCTAAAATTTTAATTCCTTTTCTATAAAAATAAGGGAGTGGCAGCTTAGTAATAATTGATCCCCATAACATCTTCTTTCGATTCATCTCTTAAACTCAGATTTCGCGGGGTAGATTTCGAAAACCTGAAAAAATAATCCAAAAAATGAGTTTAAGACTCCCACTGAAATTTTTGAAGACCTTAGAACGTCGAGCAAAGTAAGCAGAGACTAGTGTAGTATGCAGAGACAGGCGAGATGCCGATTTTTCCATTGAAACCTCTTTTTTGAAAATCGACAGAATTTCGCAGGAAAAACTAAAATTTTTGCGAAAAGAGCAAAAATTTACCAAAGCGTCTCAAAAAATAATCATAAAAACCAGATGCCGTATAGTATCTGAATAAGGAGAGAAAAACGTCCAAAAAAGGCTGCAAGATGAGAAAGCTCAGAAAAATGAGGCACTTTTAATTTGAATGAAAAATTATACAGATTAAAAAGTCAGTCAACAGTGGCATCAACAAAGAGACTTGAGCATATATGACAAACTTTTATTCGACGTTTTTAGAAGTTACTTTTTGGCAGTATTGAGCCCTTACTAGCCTGATTTTACTCAGAGACACCGCAAGACAAGTAAGCAGCTTTTATCGCGAACTTCAATTTTTCCAAGAACTGAATAGAAATCAATTTCTAATTTTAAATACTGTGTAGAATTAGCCTTTATTTGTGCAAGTACCTTTCCAATGTTGGCACTTGTTAAATAGAAGATGTCAGTGTTTCCCTGTTCGAACTTGTTTACGTTGGAGCGACTGTTTCTGAGAAACAGTTTGCCGGTGTCACCATCTTCGCCGAAGATATGAATGAAAACAGTGGCGTCTGTTCCCGCCATTAACACTGTCCCTGTCTTCACGCTCACAATGTACTGGCATTCCTCAGTGAGGGGCGACACTCCTTCGGGGTACAGCTCCCTCACACATTGTCCATCGTCTTCATCAGTGGCGAGCCATCTGATTCACGTAGCAAATAAACATTATTAAGCATAAAAAATCTATACCTTGTGCCAGCCACGTATATAAGCGCACAATAAAATCAGACACCTAATCAACATACACTATGAAAAACCGTTAATAAACTGACTTTTCTGAACCTGACCGTTAATAAACTGAATAATTTTTTTTCAACCAGTTTCAACCAAAAAAAAAAACAAACAGCCATAATGAAAACAGCTGCAGCAAATTTTATTAATTTCCAGAAAAATAAGCGATCTAAATAAAAGAATACACTACATTTATCAAAAGTAATCATTATGTTATCACTTGGGGAGCGGTGGTGAAGTGGTTACGTCTCCGCCTCTCAATCGAAAGGTCGGATGTTCGAGGCCCACCATGATCCGTGCTCGTTGTTGAGGGTGAAGCAACATTACCCAGCCCAAAAAAAATATATATATAACCAAAAAAATTGCATGTAGTTCTTAAACAGGGGCACAACAGTGGTTCGCCGTGATGAGCTGTACAGCTCTTGTGTTGGTCCTTTCCCCCGTGGATAAATGGTCTTAATCACTTCATTATGGTAGCTTAAATTGTTCCCCAAGTGAGCCCGAACTCTAGCTTTCTTTCTAACTCCTGCATAGATGGAAACAATAAAAACTTCGCCAGTAGTGTCAGCTCACATGTTTGCAGACAGTTTTGACATTGAAGAAAACAGTCTAAACTGACCTGTGACAGGGGAACAAAATAGTAGTAGATGATCCAGAACTGGGAGAGTAGGAGGGAGAGATAGGCTGGACTGAGACGGAGTCCAAAAACCATCCAGCGCCTAGATTTTTATTGTCGTGTTCAATACGCACTTTATTTAACTGGCCAAGGTCTACACACTCCACAATACATTCCTCCGCCTATGCCAAAAAAACACAGTACACAGACAGTTGGAGAAATACTTATAAAGCAGAAAAAGCTTTAAAGTTCAAGCAATGAAAAGTTCATTGAATTTATATTTATGGCAACAACATGTACCATTTTCACGGCTAATTTGTGTGGGCAAAACTTTCAGCAGGAAAATGTCTAGTACCCTATCGCGATGAATGTACAAATCTAATAATACTCGCATGAAAATAACAAATTTAAATGCGACGGACGATCATATCAACTTTTTTAAGCCATGCACTATGATACAACACTCAGACAAAACCTGTGAAAAAAAAACATAAACCAACAGCCAGCTGAAAAGAGTCATGAACGCAAGAAAAAAAATACTGACTTGTTTTTGAAAAAAAAAACCAACTTTCGAACTTCAAAGAAAAACTTATGATTGGCACTTTTTTGATCAAAATAACCCAATTTGAGATACTGGATCAATAAGTTAAAAATTTTTGTTCGGCTCGGAAATCCGAAAACTGAACTCCACTTTCGAAACTAGAAGTCGATCACTTTTTCGTGACCTGTACACTTTTGTCAAACCCTGAAAAAGGAAAATTGAGCCTGAAAAAAAAACTTTCCTGGAAAAAAACATCGCAACCAATATAAAAGTCTGAACGATGTTGACTGACTCTTAATAACAGAAAAAAGGAAACTCAGTGCTATGAAATTGATCTTTCCGTTTAAAAATTGGATATCAACTATCACCAAGAGTCTCAGGAAAAATTACATTTGATTAGGACAATTAAGATCAACGTATTTACGCCAGACACTCAACTTAAAAGATTACAAATTGCTAAAAATACGAAAGACTAAAACATAGCGAATGAACAGTTGGAAAGTTGTCAATGAACTCAAGTAAAACAGAAAAAAATTTGTTGACTTTTTGAAATTTTCAAGATTCGAAAACATATATCATTTGAAGCACTGTAATTTCAACAAAATTTTATGATTAACACTGATCTCACAAAAAGTAGGCCAATTAGTGCAAACTGGATCAATCGGTCTTTTACTTCTGCTGAATCTAAAAATTGAAATGCTTTCGAACCTAACGTTTTTTCACTTATTTTTTGTTGTTTTTCTAACTAGTGTCGTTTCCTATGCGAGCTGTGGTGAAAAAACTATACAAACTTTAAAAAGCTGATAAATTAGGCGATACAACAGCTGTCTGATACAATTGTTTTCTTCAAAAACTAAAATGAAACAAAAAACCGAAACAAACTTAATAGATTTTTTAAAAAAGAACACTGACAGGAAGCACTAAAAGAAGTTTCCACTCAAGTTTGTTTTGTTAAACGGTTTTAGCCTAAAAAAGTAAACTTTATAACAACCGATACTAACTCGATCGCTTTACTCACTTCAAATTAGGTTTTAACTCGAAAACTAATTTTTTTTCTCGAAATTAAGACAAACTTTTGACACAGCGGCGAAGTTGCTTTTCGCATAGACAGGCAAAAATATGACCAATCACTTATGAGTCTACGTAATTGCTAAGTGACGAAAGCCAATTATGACGCATTAGCAGTACCAGTCAATTTGAAAAAAAAAACTAAAAAAAAAGACATTTTACCAAATAATATGCCTCACTTTATAGAGCTGACGCATTTTAACTAGTTTACGAAAAAGTTCGTTTAAAATATCCGGCCCTGCCCAGGTTTAAACCCTCTTATTTTGTTGCAGGTCTCCTTCCCTACCTCTACGCTACAGATCTATGATATCCTGAAGCTAAAGTGCTATTTGTAATATAGTAGTGTGTGTTAATATCCTTAGCATTGGCTGTACTTGATAGCTGGATATTGATCGAAATGAACACTTTCAAAATGAACACTTTTGCCGCAACAATATTTGCGTCGCAACAATATTTGCGACTTAGGTTGGAAAAAAAAGAGTTCATACTATCACATAAGCTTTGCTTGTGTAAAAATGTCTTTCAAATCACTACTACAAGGGCTTTAATATGATATACAACTCTACCGATTCCGATTTTTAATTATGGCATCTAATTTTGCGAGGAAAAAAAAATAAAACATCCGAATTCAATGAACGGGAAAAAAAACGTTTTCAAACGATTGAACACTTTTGAAAAAAAAAAGACATAGGAAAAAATCTAGCGCTCTTATCAACTCGATCAGACTAAAACACAGCAGAATAGCTTTAAATTTACAAAACTGACATACGCAGGCATAAGAAACGTTTTGCCTTTCAATCAACGCAATACGATGGGACTAAGCCAACACAAAAAAAAAAGAGCTTTCAAGCCGACGAAAAACGTATAACATAGAACTTACATCACGCAAAATATATCTATATATCTATCTATCGATCTATCTATTTATCTAGAAGTCGATCACTTTTTCGTGACCTGTACACTTTTGTCAAACCCTGAAAAAGGAAAATTGAGCCTGAAAAAAAAAACTTTCCTGGAAAAAAACATCGCAACCAATATAAAAGTCTGAACGATGTTGACTGACTCTTAATAACAGAAAAAAGGAAACTCAGTGCTATGAAATTGATCTTTCCGTTTAAAAATTGGATATCAACTATCACCAAGAGTCTCAGGAAAAATTACATTTGATTAGGACAATTAAGATCAACGTATTTACGCCAGACACTCAACTTAAAAGATTACAAATTGCTAAAAATACGAAAGACTAAAACATAGCGAATGAACAGTTGGAAAGTTGTCAATGAACTCAAGTAAAACAGAAAAAAATTTGTTGACTTTTTGAAATTTTCAAGATTCGAAAACATATATCATTTGAAGCACTGTAATTTCAACAAAATTTTATGATTAACACTGATCTCACAAAAAGTAGGCCAATTAGTGCAAACTGGATCAATCGGTCTTTTACTTCTGCTGAATCTAAAAATTGAAATGCTTTCGAACCTAACGTTTTTTCACTTATTTTTTGTTGTTTTTCTAACTAGTGTCGTTTCCTATGCGAGCTGTGGTGAAAAAACTATACAAACTTTAAAAAGCTGATAAATTAGGCGATACAACAGCTGTCTGATACAATTGTTTTCTTCAAAAACTAAAATGAAACAAAAAACCGAAACAAACTTAATAGATTTTTTAAAAAAGAACACTGACAGGAAGCACTAAAAGAAGTTTCCACTCAAGTTTGTTTTGTTAAACGGTTTTAGCCTAAAAAAGTAAACTTTATAACAACCGATACTAACTCGATCGCTTTACTCACTTCAAATTAGGTTTTAACTCGAAAACTAATTTTTTTTCTCGAAATTAAGACAAACTTTTGACACAGCGGCGAAGTTGCTTTTCGCATAGACAGGCAAAAATATGACCAATCACTTATGAGTCTACGTAATTGCTAAGTGACGAAAGCCAATTATGACGCATTAGCAGTACCAGTCAATTTGAAAAAAAAAACTAAAAAAAAAGACATTTTACCAAATAATATGCCTCACTTTATAGAGCTGACGCATTTTAACTAGTTTACGAAAAAGTTCGTTTAAAATATCCGGCCCTGCCCAGGTTTAAACCCTCTTATTTTGTTGCAGGTCTCCTTCCCTACCTCTACGCTACAGATCTATGATATCCTGAAGCTAAAGTGCTATTTGTAATATAGTAGTGTGTGTTAATATCCTAAGCATTGGCTGTACTTGATAGCTGGATATTGATCGAAATGAACACTTTCAAAATGAACACTTTTGCCGCAACAATATTTGCGTCGCAACAATATTTGCGACTTAGGTTGGAAAAAAAAGAGTTCATACTATCACATAAGCTTTGCTTGTGTAAAAATGTCTTTCAAATCACTACTACAAGGGCTTTAATATGATATACAACTCTACCGATTCCGATTTTTAATTATGGCATCTAATTTTGCGAGGAAAAAAAATAAAACATCCGAATTCAATGAACGGGAAAAAAAACGTTTTCAAACGATTGAACACTTTTGAAAAAAAAGACATAGGAAAAAATCTAGCGCTCTTATCAACTCGATCAGACTAAAACACAGCAGAATAGCTTTAAATTTACAAAACTGACATACGCAGGCATAAGAAACGTTTTGCCTTTCAATCAACGCAATACGATGGGACTAAGCCAACACAAAAAAAAACGAGCTTTCAAGCCGACGAAAAACGTATAACATAGAACTTACATCACGCAAAATATATCTATATATCTATCTATCGATCTATCTATTTATCTATGCACTTAGCAAAATCAAAGTTTTAACTACGACACTGAATGATTCATTATTGTACACACCTTTTCATGCTGTCAACAACAAAAGGTAGTTTTAATTTAAAAAAGTTTCTGTGAAGTTATTACAAAGAACTGTACAAAAGTCCAAAAGACTTACTGATCCTGATTCGAATTTGTTGATGTGTTGATCGGAATGGCGCACTTTCCTGGTACCCGAATCTCCTTTGGATCCAAACAGAGTTACGAACACATTGGCGTCCGTTCCCGAGCCCCCCTTGCTTCCGGTGCGAATTGTCAGTTTGTACAAAATCACTTGAAAATATCCAAAATAAAGACACCAAAACTATTTTTTGCACAAGATGAAACAACAATCGACAAAAAATCTGTTTTAATACATTAATTTGTAATAGTAAATCAAACAATGTTCGAAGCAATGATGATTATGAAGTGCACTTACCTGGCAGCGGGACAGAGGGCGCTAGAGGACCTGTAGCAGGTAACTCCCTCACAATCTCGTGGTGGTCCTCGTCCACACTCAGCCATTTGTCGCACTTGAACACATACTTGTCTTTCGGCTTGATCACGCTCACCAGCTCAACCTACAACACACATACTTTGAACGTCTTCGATGAAAGAAGGCACATCTGAACAGTCAAATATAATCTACGCGCAGACCTAGTTTGCCGAATGCCGAAGGACAGCGCTTCTGAAAACAGGCACTTTTGTATTGAAGATCTAGTATTTAGGAACATTTGGATTTGCAGCATTCGAATACACGCTCATCGTTGAATTTTGAAAAAAGATCTAATCTGACCCCACCAGCCCTAACTCGCGCCGAAGGAGCCTATAAAACTTAACGTGCTATCGTTCTCCCAGACCTGGTTATTGAATATGCACTCAATGCGAAAATCAATTTTGTTCATTTTGCTAACGCGCCAGAATAAACTGCGAAAGAATATGCAACATGCCTTTTCAAGTAGCCAGCCAGGGAAGAATCCAGAGTTGTCGTGCCAGATTCGCAGTTTGCTGATGGTGCCCACATCGAGAAGAGTGGCCTTGAATCTATCTACCGCACCCATGTTGAACGTGTGGGTCTTCTCAAGTGCTCCTACTTTCTCACTGGTCAAGTGACACTCTTCCGATTTGCCCTTATCGCCGTAGATCTGGATATATACCCTGGCGCTTGTTCCGGCGCCCACTTGATCTCTTGTTTTCACGAGCACATTCCACGCAATCTCTACACAAGGTATACACATGCATATAAACACATAACTCAACGGAGCTACAATTTTTAAATTTGAACTTCGACAGAACGATTTCAAGTTCAAATATAGCCAACAGATAGATACTCAACAGAGAGAAAAAAAAACAAATAAATTGTGATTATTTCTCAATTTTCCACTTTTAAATAAAAAACTATCATCATAACGCATTTTCAAATTCAAGCATATTTTATGATAGACACTTATTGAAAATAAACACAATTTGAGGAAATTATCCCCAGTGAAAGGGAAAAGAACTCCCAATTTGACTGTTAAATGTCTATAACTGAGGTCATTGAAGTAAAAACTGACTTTATGGGAACAAATTGACTTTATTTTTTGTTCACGTTCTTTTTTAGCGTTATCAGAAAAACCGTATGATTAAGTAGAGCCACCAAAAAAGCATCTTCAAGTATCACAAAGGTAGCACTTTCAAAAGTGTCTCCAAAAGTAGCACTTTTATTTGCGACTTAGCTTCGAAAAAAATTACATCGTAATATCACACTACACTCGGCATGTATAACACAAAAGCGAAGCTTCGCATCGCAAACAATAGCCAGATCACGGCAAAAAGCAGCTTTAGAAAAGTGCAATAAGAAAAAATAAAAATAAGCTTTGAAATAGCTTTGAAATAGGTCTGATAATCGATTTGCGGTCTACTGCAATATAGAGATTTTGAGTCTCACCCACTAACCAAGCAAGCTTAACCATCGAAAAACACTAGTCACAAATAAAGCAGCTACATATGCTACTAAATTGCCAAAGCAATTCAGCGAAAGTGGCACAAAATACAAATAGACACAAATTTTTAAGTAATAATTTGGAATTTAACAGACTGAAGGCATCCACACTAAGTTTGCATGCAAAAATCGGAAAGCATAAAGCCACATTATGTATAATTTAAGCATTTTAAAAAATGGCCAGATATATTGAGTTTGAAAATTTCTGAAATCAAGTTAGTATGATTATGTTGTTCAAAACAAATAGCTTTTTTAGTTTCATTTGATGAATTTAAAATGCACCAACTGTGTTAACTTATTACTTTTCGAATGTCAAAGCATATGCTATCATAAAGCTGCAAAGGTGCCCCAAAAGTGGCAACAACATTTGCGATTAAAAAAGGAGGTTCTTAATAATACACTAAGCTGACGCTATTGTAGTGTAATAAGGGATAAAAATGTGTCAGTATACATTTGGATCTAAGAATAGTATGCATGCTCAAACTAAATTCTTCTCTATTTTACAGCGGTTTTCTGGCATGCTCCTTGTTGAGCTGAAGAGCCCGTATAGCTACTCCTGATGCAGTATAGATCCTGTTAATCCTTATTATTTTTGTATCAACTTTCAATTTTATAAACTTGTATCAACTTTCAACTTGTCCATAGTTGATGGTCGAGACATTCACTAACTTTTAGGCCTGGTTTTTCTCCACGACACCCTCTCTGTCAGTTCCCGCTCCACCAGTTTATCGCCCATTGAATCACTCAGCCACTGATCACACACAAAGTGCTGTTCCAGTCCTGTCTCGGGACAGAACACAAGCACCTTAGACAGGAACCAGCCGGCACCCACTCCACTGTTGTCGTGGCCCACTGTCAGTCTAGTCAGGGGACTCAACTCCACCTGCGATTCCACTCGAATCAGATCTGTCTTTCCACGCTCGAAGCTGCCGCCACTCAACCAAAGCTACATCAGACAAAGCAATCAGCAACAATTCCAAAAGTATACAAGCTTTCTCCAGACCTTCCAAAATTGTCTTTCTTAGGCCCATGATGACTTAATGTTACCACAAGACGTAGGAGCGCTATGCTTGACAAATGAGTTCCATTTTTAACGGGTAGTCTTCATTTTACTTTTTGTATTCATGTTTTTTATACATTTTTTTGAACTTCATATGAACGTTTGCAATACCATGGTTCAGTCCAATAGAACAAAACTACTTTAACTTCACCACTGTACCTTTCCACTAGAGATGTCCATGGTCCTTGTCTCTCCACTATCGTTTTTAGTTTCCTTCTGCCCGTGCATCACAACGTACACTCCAGCGTTCGTTCCCGCATACATGATATCACCAGTGTACACTGATATTTCGAATGGAGACCCTAAAACAACTTGCAGGTCACAGATTGGAAGCAAAATTAGCATCTGCATTAATTTGAGAATCGGATGTTTTTGTAGCTACACAAATACAGTTTCAAAAAATTTGCATCGGGTGAGAAATCATTTTAAAGAATTATCATTCGAGCTGCAATAAAAACGGGCAGAAATTTTTTTGGTTTTTAGACCAATTTAGAGCAAATACTCGACAATCGCAATTTAAATAAGTATCTAGTCGTTTCACCGTTGAATTTATTCGTAATACCAACGGATGGTCATCAAAAGGACCTGATACTTCCTGTGCTTGAAAACACACTTTACGAACACTCTTCCTTTCACGCAGAGGCCAAGTTGCACTTCGCATACACAAACAAAACTAGTGACCGATAACGCTACTGGCTGTACTTAATAGCTGGTTATTGATCTTATGCATATACTGCAATAAAAGAACAATTTCAAAATGAACACTAATATTTGCGACTTGGTTGGAAAAAAGAGTTCATACTATCACACAAGCTTTGCTTGTGTAGACAACGAAACGAAAACAAACAATTCTGCCATCGAAGCTTTCTGTGCTACTAGAACAGCAAACAACTTTTCTGCGTTTCCGAATAAATGCTATCGCATAGTAGAGAAGCACACTTTTTTTCAAATATTAAATGTCAAAAAAACTTTGCAATACTTTTTTGTAGTACTTTCCAGATTTGAGAACATTAGCAACATGTCCATACCTCCTGCTGTCGTATCTTGTTGGAAACCTTCTCCGCAGTAGATATCTCTCATAATCATCTTGTCATCCTCGTCCTTGGCAAACCATCTGTCTACTCTCATTTCACTCTTCTGTCCAGATGTCATTTCCTCCACAGTCACTGAGAGCAGATACCAGCCAGGGGCCAGACCACTATTGTCATGGCCTACACGCAATCGTTCCAGGGTGCCAATGGAGCCCACGTTCTCAATGATGAATTCGTCCTCGCTTAATTAAAACACGTGGGGGAATACATTACATCACTTTAAGCTGGAAATTAGGTTGGAAAAAAAGTTGCTTAGTAGTATTACACTTAAAATCGATTGTGTAAACAGCAATTATAATAGCAAAACAGAATCGCGATTAGCAGGTTGAAGTAAGACAAAAAAAGTAAAATTATGATAGTTGGGTCCCTAAAACTTAGATAGGTCCACGAAGAATTAATTTCGAGCTTCAAATCTTCGGAAACATGGCGAGTATTTGTCTTTTTTTTGTGTTTTTCAAAGTTCCTCAAAAATCACAGGACTTTTGATTTATGTTTCTTTTTTTTTTCAGGGACCCAACTATAATACATGCACCGAGAAGAAAGTCAACAAATTGAGCTGTTAAAAAGACACTGAAAAAAGCACTTTATGGAACTTGTTTGAAATTGATCTAGGCTCACCTGCCCTTGGAGAATGCGTTGGGCTTCATCTTTCTCAGATTGTGTTCCCCGGTGTCTCCCTGGGAACCGAACAGAGTGAGGAAGACATTGGCACTAGTCCCACTGCCCTTTCCGCTCCCCGTATTCAGAACAACTCTGTATTTACACACTTGTGCTGCTCCTGCAACATGTCAAAATAAGCCAAAATGTCAAAACAGTTGAACTAATAAAGATATCATTTCAGACTAATACTTCATGAAATTAAGAAAATATTGTATTATGGGTCCTTAACCCGCAATAGCGGGTGCATTGGTTGACTGTCCCATTATTGACTTTAAAAATATTCAGTTTTACTTCACTTTCAAACATCTCCACCTTCTTTGTAATGTGCATTTGCTCTGGAAGAAAAGACAATTAATTATGTTGTAAAACCTATACGGATATTGTAAGCAAAACTCATTCAAGTACTCTTCTTCATTTTCTCAAACATTATACAAATACTAATCACAAATTAATACACATAGGCGAAGCAGAGCTCCGCGACACTGTAACACATCAAAAACGTAGCATGAAAAACTACACGACAGAAAATAAGACAAAAGATACTCAGTTAAAAAAATTTCATGTCGCAAAATTAGAAATTAGAAAATTTTTATATCTTTATCTTCTATAAATTTTATTTTAAGACAAAAACATGCCAAGTGAGTCAATTGACTGTTAAATAGCCTCAAAACAAAACTTAAAAATCAGTAAAGATGTAGGAAAGAAATTTGTTTGCTCATCAAACGACGCAATATGAGCCCAATGAGCCGATATAGTATATGCCATACCATTTGAAACCGGGTATACAGAAAACGAGAAAACCAAAACTAAAACTGATATTTTACATATGAAACCGGGTATATAGAAAACGAGAAAACTAAAACTAAAAACTGATATTATACTAAAATCGGTGGAAATTGCAATTGAGATATAACAAACAAAAATAAGACATGAAAAAATTAATTAAAAAACTTGAACCTTTTGAACAATGTTTTAAGTCCCCCTTGAAGCTACACCGAACAACATTTGCAACTAAGCCGACAAAACATGAGCAGACAAACGAAACTCCGACAATTAAATTTTTCTGAAAAAAAGTTTTATACTGAAAAAAGCAAGGTCCGGCCTGGACCCGAATCCCAGACCTAAGGGTGAAAAGGCAAGCTTATTTCCTATAGCCCAAGCGGGAACGAACCTGCAAGTTTTTAAGGTTCCATAAGAAAGCTAAAAAGAAAATCAAAAAAGATTTATAAGAAAAATTGTTTACGGCAAAGAGTCTAACCCGATTCAAAACACTTGCTTTCGAAAGCATAAAAAATAATTTCACAAACTTTAAGGGCATCAGACGTCATTAAAAACTTTTTCTGCACCTTCAAAAACGTTTATTTCGGTAGAACTAGAATAACAGGAGCGTCTCACCTAAAACCGACCACAAGTTTAAGCAAGGATAGCCAGTTGCTAAGCAAGTAGCACAGAAAGTTCCTACCACATTCCTAAAACACTTACAAAAAAGTATTTTTTAAAATTAATTTCGGTTTGTCGTGCGCAGTTATTTTTGCAGAAATTTTTTGAATTTATAAAATTTTTTATTCATAAGATGGCGCTAACAAACTTAGATAGCCTAATTTCCTAAATTTTTCGCGGCTTGAATAAAAAAATTCATGGCTTATTCACAGCCAATCTGCGAGTACCTTTCTATAATAAGACTCGCTTTACCTGCTCGAAATGAGACGAATAATCAAAAACGTCAAACCCGTTTTTCTCGACATTGGGATTTTTTAGAACACTTTCTATATCGGTCAAAGCATGACTGCAGGGGCTTTAATATATATCACTCAACCCAGTTAAATGATTATTTTGTGGTACTTCACTTTGCGTTAGCAAAAAAGAGCAAAAACTGGAACACACCCGAATACAAAGTTCCTCCCCATTTTCAATGGTCAGAACAAAAAGACTTAACATCTTGCAGAAAACGAACAACCAAGCCCTTCTGGCCGTCAAAAACTAATACTGCGCATGCAAAAGCTGAAGTGCAAGCTTGGTAAAAAATGGATTCGAAATAACCCGATTCGACATCCTAATTGTACGATTGTTTGAAATGCAGCATATGCGCAGAGACGAAGCGAAGCTTCAGATCACTTGCGATACAACTGAAACATGAACCAGTTTAAAAAATTTCGCAAAAAAACTTTAATTCAATACCCTAAACACGCACACGAATAAGCAATTTTTTCGCGCGTCAAACGACGCAAAATGAGGTCAATAAACCGACACTTTTTCGGCCCAATAACTACTGCAATAATAACAAATCGTAGTTTGTCAATTCACAACCAACATGAAACACAATTGATATTAAATAGTCATACACAGAGGCGAAGCGGATCACTTGCGATACAAGTGAAAGTGCTTACACAGAAGCAAAGCTGCGCTTCGCAAACACTTACGAGAACACGACCAAAAACAGCTCTATCAAGTGAAATAAGAAAGAAACTAGCAATTAACGCACCTTCGGTTCTTCGAAATTTTTCGACAACGGATGAAAAAAACCGCATATATTGCAAACAACATCTGCAAACTTTTAGTGTACTCTGACTGCACCCAATTACAGGGTTGGTAATTTCGAACTTTTAAATTTTTTTTAAATTCCCATTTTGAAAGCGTCATCTCGAAAACTTAATGGGCCTCTGGAGAAATTTGGAAGCCAGATTTGCAACCACTGAGAGTCCCTGAGAGCACCCTACTATAGGGTTAGGAATCCAAAATTTTGTGAATTTTTTTAAACATAAGATTCCCGAAAAAAAAAATTGAAAAAAACGTCCTATTTAACGAAAGAAACTAAAAGCATTTGAGCATTCGCGTTTAGCAGTCGCATGTGGCAAGATTTGCAACTCTTTAGAGTACCCTGACAACACCGAACTATAGTTGGGAATTTCAAATTTTGAAAAAAAATTAATTTAAACTTTCTGAAAATTTTAAAAAAATCACAAAAAACGTCACATCTCGAAAACTACAAAGAATTGAGCAGTGATAATTAGAGGCAAGATTCGCAATCCTTGAGAGTACTTTGACAGGACCTAACTACAGGGTTGGGAATTTCAGATTTTTAAAGAATAGAAATAATTCATGTTTTCTGAAAAATTTTGAAAAAATCGCAAAAAAACGTCATATCTCGAAAACTACAAAGAATTGAGCAGTCATACTTGGAGTCAAGATTCGCAATCTTTGAGAGTACTCCGACAGGACCTAACTAAAGGGTTGGGAATTTCAGATTTTTAAAAACTAATAATAATTTAAGTTTTCAGAAAAATTTTGAAAAAATCACAAAAAACGTCATATCTCGAAAACTACAAAGAATTGAGCAATCATACTTGGAGGCAAGATTCGCAATCTTTGAGAGTACTCCGACAGGACCTAACTACAAGGTTGGGAATTTCAGATTTTTAAAAACTAATAATAATTTAAGTTTTCAGAAAAATTTTGAAAAAATCACAAAAAACGTCATATCTCGAAAACTACAAAGAATTGAGCAATCATATTTGGAGGCAAGATTCGCAATCTTTGAGATTACTCTGACAGGACCCAACTACAGGGTTGAGAATTTCAGATTTAGCGAAAAAAAATTAATTTAAGTTTTCTGAAAATTGTTTTAAAAAATCACAAAAAACGTCATATCTCGAAAACTACAAGGATTAGGACAGTCATATTTGGAAGCAAGATTTGTTACTCCTTAGAGTACTCCAACAGCACCCAACTACAGGGTTGGGAACTTCTAGTTTTGTAAATTATTTTGTTATTTGAAATTTCTGAAAATTTTTGGAAAAATCTCAAAAACCGTCTTATCTCGTTAACTAAAATGATTCGGGCATTCAAAATTAGAGGCCAAATTCGCAAGCCCTAATTCGATATTGGGCTGCTTAACTTCAACTCGGTAAAATAACCACTAAAATCAAATTGGAAAATCGAAAAAAAATCTTAACCATTGCAATATACGATATAGCTTAAACATGCAAAAATAATACGTTAAAAAAGCTTAAACATGGCGAGATAGTGAAGCCTGCATTTAAATATACAATAGATAAGCCTCGAATTAGCAAAAACTCGGCTACGCGTGGGAATCGAATCTGCGACCTGGCAAATTTGAATTTCACGCTCTAACCACTCAGCCACGGCTGCTTAAATTCTCCAAAAACTAGCCACCAATAACGCAGCTTCATATTCTAATAAAATACCGATTCGATGCAGCAACAGTAACACCAAATACGAAAAGACACAATTTTGCATGTAATAAGTTCGAAAGCAGAAAGCCAAATTATGTATAAATTAAACATTTCAAAAAAATTGCGAGATACACCGAGTTAGAAATTTCTGATATTGAGTTTTTTTATCATTGTATTGTTGTTTGAATCAAATATTTTTTCTCATTTTATTTGATGAACTAAAAAAGCATCAGCTGTGTTAAATTTTAGCTGATGAAATGTCCAAGCTCATATGATATTATACTGCTACCGCAGGCTACGGATTCAAAACATTTTTATTTGCGACTTAGGCTGGAAAAAAAAGAAAGTTCGTACAAATACACTTTCCTTCGCAGGTGTAATAACAGTGTAAAAAGAAAAAAAGGAACGCAGTGTGACAAACGGATTTTAAACAAAGTTATTTTAAAAAAGTTGAAAAATTACGGGAAAAAAAGTTACAAAACTTACATCGTTATTACACGTTTGTCTCAAACGGAGTTCAAAAACATCGTTAATTAAGTCATGATAATCAATAAATAAGCGGCAACCAAGCCAACAAAAATTGGGTCGACCCCCACTAAGCCAAAAACGGAATAGTTTTAAAATCCGAAAGAAACTTTTCTGATCTCTTGAAACATCAGAAACGTAAGAAATTGTTCTGCCACCCGAACTTCACAAGAAGAGCTGACGTAAGTAAATTATTAAAGCAAAACAAATCCTAAATCAGCGTTGTTGACTTCAAAAAAGAGAAAAACTTACAAAAAATAATCAGAAAAGAAGTCTACGAAAGCATGCCGATTAACAACCATCCCAGATCTTACAGTTTGCAAGTGAAAAACAAAGGGAAAACGAGCCGAAAAAATTAGGACGAAAACCACGAATCCGAAAAAAAACTTCATTTTTCCAATTAGTTTCATTGAAATGGATTACTACCTAATATGAACCTCGATAGTTTTATTTTTTTAATTGAATTTTCAAGAAAAAAATTAAGTCAGGCTGCACGCGAATCTGCACGCTTTTCTTACAGATTTGTAAGAATCTTGTTTAGAGGAAAAAAACTGTAAATAGAGTTACTAATCACAAGACATTCAATCTCATAAGCGTAAAAATGCGTGTTTAAAATCTAGCCTGAGAGCCCATTGGACGATGAGTGGTGACAGGGGAACAGTTTGAACGTCTGTTTGTCTCCCCTCTTTTTACACAGCCAGTTCAAGTCTCCGGCTGAGGGGATCTTTGCCAGGTAAGAGTGACGTAATGGGTCACTTAGGTCCACAATAGAAACAGACGCCACGCACCAACTGCCACTCCATCCACTGTTGTCGTGCTCCAATCTACAATATGGACATTATGATGAAACGAAAAGTGAACTGGCTTGTTTAATCGTTGCTACCAAATTTAAACCGATTTTCATAGATCGTGTTAGAGTTTAAACTTTTTGGTATACGTGGAAGCAGGCTACATCATTCGCCCATTTGACCAGCTGAAAGCTTTCAAAAAAAAAACCCTTTCGCGAACTTCAATAAAAAGAATTACATGATCAAATCACAAGAGCGTTTTTATGGCGCAGTGAAATTACAGTTCTTTGGCTCCAATGCTCTTTGATCCGACCGAGAGGGTTTTAACATGTAAAACAGAGAACTAATCTTGACTTGTGTACCGTGACAGCCTTTTTCAATTCAAAAGAGAACCCGAAAATGTCAGGGATTACTTTCAAATGCCGACTGATGAGTAACAACTATCGGTAGCTTTTCAACAAATCTGTTATTGCAGACAATCGACATAATTTGATGGATACTTATTGACAAAAAGATCATTTTGTTGATTCGATTTTCCTCTTCTCATTGTAATAATTGTGAACCAACTGAATTTAATTTTGTCAACTATGAATAGGAAAAGAATGATTTGTTTCAGAGATGACAGCACTGCAGGAAGGATGTCAACAAGAACTCAGACATCAGTCTATTGTCACTCTCAGTCTAGCTAAAGTCTTCTCTTTGTCTTGTCCTTCTCATTTAATCAAACTCATTATGTCTCGAACTACAATTAAAATCAGTCAGTTGGGAACAATTAAAATACTCAAATCGAAACCATCACACCATCCACACTGGTCTTACCTTACACCGACGTTATACAATTTCGCCGACAACTGGGCGGTCACTTAGTTTGCAGACTGCACAGTAGAATAACAGAGAATTGTTTTTGAATTCGAAATCGTAGATCTGAACAAAAAAAGAAGCCAGCATGGGTGACGATTTATGCGCCGCGGACATTCGAAAACAACCAGCAGGTCAGATGAACAATATCAGCCAGCAGCACAACTTTCAGTCCTCTTCCACCTCTTTAGCGTCCGGTAACCGGAGACTCAACAAACGGAGCAAGAATAGGCGACAAGACCACAAGTATCAGCATCAACACCACTTCAACAGTCGTCATCCCGGCTATAATCCAGTTGCTGCAGCAGCAGCCGCAGCTGCCAAGGCGAAAGGGAAAGCAGGCGGTGGGCAAGGGGCGGTTGGGTTGGGGGTGGAAGAATTGAGTTGCAGCAGCAGTTGTAGCAGTAGCCACTACTCGACATCAGATGAAGAGGTATCAAACTCGCCGTTTTCCATACATTCACTTTCTCAAGTGAGCCGCTTTCTCAAATTCAAATAGCCAAACCTATATGTTAAATAATGCCATGTTGCAGAAGTTAAGTCAAATTACATCACTACCAAAAACCTAAGGTTATTCATACAGCCAACTCGTAACGTAATGTTTCAACAGCATAACAGTCACTAGGATTCGGCAAAGACAATCTATTTAGACTGGTTTGTTTTAGGTGGTGGTGGAGAAATGGTGTTCCTCATCAACTAACATCTCCACTCAGAAACCAGTAAAGTTTTTTTATATTTTAGAACTATATTTTCTCTATACTTTACCTATGCCAAAATGTACATTTATTCAGTCTTGAACTAGATCCAGGCTTTGTCAGAACGTTATTACAATGAAATTGATTTCATAATAATTTTTAATTCAAACTCTTTGCTCCAGGAATCCTGGAGACAGAACCCAGTAAAGGAGGTGACTTTCGATGAGCAAGCAGGACAATCAGGCGGAGACAAAGATCAGAACGCAGACCAGGAAGACGAAATCAAACAGTTAGTATTCCAATTATTCAGTTCTCACACTCGCTTTTCCTTTTTTCCACAAAAAATAATATGCCTTAGAACTGATTTGTTGTTCCGACCATTGGGATCAAAATTTGCAAAAACTCAAAAAACTGCAAAACCTGAAAAAAAAAATCGTTTTTCAAGTAACTTTTCTACAAAAATTGTTTATCAATTTGCTTACTTTAATATAGCTGTCGAATTTACCTAATCCCTAGTTTTTTCAGCTGCGTTTATCACACACAACGCAAAAACAACAATACTTTGAAAAAACTATTATCGTAACATTCTGAGCTACTTGCACAGTAACCGGCTTTCCTGGTTTGGTTTTGTTGATACGCGTGTTTTCCGAGCGCTAACATTTCAATCGAATACGCTTTTCATGTATTGCAAAAAGATTTGATACTCACACAATATAGATAATTCGTAGATTTTAACCGTTGGATAAGTCCTGAAACTTTACTAGGAACCATAGAGAAGAAACGCTTAACGAGATCCACAAAAAACTGGGCCGAAAAGTATAATAATTCTGATGAACAAATTTCAGATGGAAATTCGGCTTGCTGCAGTTCTACAACGACGTCTCCTACAGCGTGCTGGTCTTGATGGCTCCATGTTTAGCAGAGGCCTACCTGATCAAACAGAACAAGGGTAGCAGGATGGCGGCAGGCGCAATGGCCATGTTCATTCTGCCGCTCATTCTAGGTATTATATACTTTTTATGAACAATTGTCTAAAAGTAGAAAGAACCCACAGATGCTGATAAACATCATCATCATCGTCGGAAAATTAATTAGGATCGGTTGACTCTTTTGTTAAGCAAGGGGTGGTTTGAATTTTTATATTTTAGAACGCTGTTTTCTTCATCCTTTACCTATGCCAAAATGAACAATTATTCAGTCTTGAACTAGATCCAGGCTTCGTCAGAACGTTATTACATTGAAACTTATTTCATGATGAACACCTTTTCCGGAAACAAACAACTGATTTTTAATTTAAATTATGTGCTCCAGGAATCCTATTGTTTCTCGTGCTCTTTTACTGCATGTGGCCCGGAGCTCTCAGTTGGACCACTGTTGTTCTCCTAGTTTGTGTGTTGGCCATCATCTGCACAGTTTGTATACTTGCCCGGACGGCCCTTCTTTCTGACACTCGGACGGAGATGAGGAAAAGTTACGGAATCTATGACACTTCAGTGAACGACTCGTGTACTGTGTTCTGTTGTTATCACCTGTCCCTATGTCAGATGCTACAAGAGAGAAAGTATCAGACGCATATACCGACACCCAATAAGGACATCGAAAGGCAGGAGAAGCAGTAGCCGGTTCCTAATCACTTCAATTTTTTAGTACCAGAGCCACGATCATCTTACATTTAGTACAACACACATTTCGCTCACAATCTGCTCCATAATTAATTTTTTCATTATGAAATTTTCCCAACTAAGCATAGCAAGCTGTAGGCAGTTACCGAAGCATAGGCACCCTTGAAACGAAAGACTCATTATTCAAAGAAAATTACTACGAAAAAAATGAATTCACGCCATAAAAAATTTCGCGTGTGAGAGAGACAAATATTGGAACACTCACTTAATTTTGACAATCTCGCCCACTGCTAGAACTGACTGTAGTCGGAAGGTTGATTCTGATCCCCTGAGAAGATCACTTTTTCTGTCTGCTCTCACCAGTTGCAGACGGGGGGTGCTTCTCTGCTCACTGTAGAGAGTGAGGAACACGTTGGCAGATGTGCCTCCCTCACTAACATCTGCCGTTTTCACCACCACTTCGTAGTCTGACAACCAAAAAACAATGTCAACGTCAGAACATATAACGAAAAAAACACCTAAAAAATTCGACAGAAATCTGTTGTTTCGAACAAATTGTTCCGAGTTATGGACAAAAGAAAACTCACAAATTTTCAAAACATATTCACATTAATGAATTTTATCTCATTTTCATCGATTTTGGTGACACATTACAATACGTGGTAGATCCAAATGATTTTACTCAGCTGAGCAAAAAAAATTTGGTTCCAACCGGGGCATAAGAGATTATAGTCAGATGGTTTAGCCACGTACTATCCAGTCTGACATCTTCGAAGAGAACAGTTACAGAGAGTTACATTTTCATAGTTACTGATTTTGCGCAAAACTACGCAATATACGTTACTAAGCTGATAAACCATAGGCCGAACGGTTTAAAATAAAGAAAAAAATAAAATTACTCGAAATCAGACATGGTACAATGACAAAATACAGATCTTTCAACAAGAGTAAAAACATTTCAATCGTACTAAAAGCCATGCTTTGCAAACTAAGCCGATAAAAAACTAACATACTATAAATGTTATTTTAAAAAAAACGGAAAATGAGCCGAGGGAATCTAGGCCGAAAAACAAGAATCGAAAAAAGTTCCAACGTTTTTTCAAAAAATTTATTAGAATAAGAGTTACTGCCAAAAACGGACCCCACATATTTACTACGTAAACGACGATTCTTTAACTTGAACTTTCAAAAAATTGAGCAGGTCTTGAAATTAATTACCCCTACAAATCGACCATTCTGTGAACAAACTCATTTACATATCTCAAGGGTAAAAAACCCAACTCATAACCGAGAAGACCTATTCTACAGCAGTTGTTTCATGCATTTGCGCTTACAGCAGTTGTTTCATGTCTTTTTGCCTCATTAATGCTAAATATTAAGAAGTCTGAGTTGATTAATAAAATCTCCATTCCTGCATTTTAGCAGACTGACTGGGTAGCATGTGGCTAACACATTTGACCCTGTCCGGGTTCGATTCCCGCTGGGACAATTTTTTTTTTGTAAAGACTAGTTGAAAGCAATTCTGCCTTTTATTGTAATATATCACCCAATTCTTCCTGAGATATTTTCAATAGGACAATCAAACCTGTTTTATGTAGACTTTCCACAGGGATTGCAGTTAGCTTGCGAGACGCCTGGAAATCTGGAGGTCGGTAGAGTGATAGCCATTTGTCACAGGGAAATCTCCACTTCTTCTGCTGACGCTGCCTCGAAGGCGAAGTGGCTGATGATGTCTGACACCTCACAACTACTTCCTTCAGGAACCAATCATCATCTTTGTCCTCTCCATCGTGCTACACAACAAAATCACTAGTGCGTCAGGCTATAAGTCATAATAAAGTCAGAAAATTAGTCATTATAGCGTCTAAAACCAAAGGGCAAAAAATTGCCAAAATATAATCATTCACATCACCAATGAGGCAACATCGCTAAGTCCCTCCAGCTTCATCACTTCTCAATTTCGCTAACACAGCAACGATTCTTTTCACTTATGGAACACACGCTACATTGTTGCTTATTAAAAAAGCACTGACAAAAGAAAAGTCATCATGGGGCTGTTAGAAACCAAACCCGACTATCATATTAGAGACCGAGAGCTAACATGATGATAAGGAATCGCACCTTGATTGCCAAAGTTTGCAGCTCTCCTAGTTCCTTGTGTTTGATTGTGAAAGTGTGTTTGGAGGAGGGACCTAGATAAACTCTCTCATCCCTTCCTCTCTCTCGCTCCCTGTCTCCTCCCCTGCTGCTCCTCTTGTACATCAGTCTGTCAGCCGTCTCATCTCGGCGTTTCTTTTGCTTTCTCGACCCCTCTCTAGTTTGAACTAACTGTCTGTACTTTGGCATCTTTCCTTCCGCCCCAATAAGCCTGACAAAAATCTGAAATGCAGAAGACACTCAATTGGAGAAAATAAGAGTTAAATCACTTCTTGCAAACAAAATGGTTGGTTCCGTTTTGATACTTCATAAGCAAACACAAAACAGTTGATCGGAACCGAAACTTAAATAACATAGAAAATGCACCTTTCGAAAATGAATCATTTTACAAAGTGCGCCTTGTAATGACTTCGCGTTAACTTTTCAACACTTACGTAAAATGACAATTTTTTTTGTCGAAAAAACACTTTATAACCCATCAAAACAAAATGAAAGCTGCCATATGAGCCAGTGCTGCGACAGTACAGGCACCAGTGTGCAGAAATGATATTAAGCTTAGTTTTGAATTCTGTTTCTGGTCTACCTCTGATTTATAATATGCGGAAACGTAACACGGAAATGACAAATTTATCCTAATTAGGACAAGTTGTTACCTCAATTAATTTTAAAAAGATTAACGTAATGGGTTTAAACAATGGGACAAGGATAGCCGATTACTGTGCATCTAGCACAGAATGTTCTGACCATACTGGTTAAAAAATGACTAAGGGAAAATTGAAAAATCGAAATCTTGTTAGTCTTAACTACCTGTCATTTTTTTTTTTAGAAAGCACGATTGAATTAGGTGAAAAATCGGACTTTTCCACCCCCCCTCCACACACAGTTCAAATTTTCCAGTTTTTTAGTTGTATTACGCGTTGTTAAGACTGAATACGTGATGTTACAAAGTAAGTATGACAAACCAATGTGTTCACAATAGTTAGCTTATTCACCATGAAAAATTTCATTGCATTAAGACAAGGTTTTCAACACTAAAATTCAAATGAAGAGGATTAGAAAACGGCAAAAATTGTAACCCTACGCCATAGTTCAGTGCTCGAGCCAAAAAAAAAGAGATATACTATATGAGACATTGCCGGTATAAATCATGGCCATGATGATGACCACTGCTTCAATTAGGTCTTTTCTACTCACGTTGGCAGATGTGCCTGCATGTGGCTGATGTCCTGTGACCAGAGTCACTCTGTACTCTGTCTTTTTCTTCTCCTTCCTCTCCCTCTTCGCCCCCTTTCCCCCAACACTGTGTGCCCTGTCCACTCTATCTCTGTCGTCGTCCGAATAGCGCCGCCTCCTTCTGCAGGTTGAAGAAAAATACCAACTCATACTTCGAGCAACAACATATATAGACATGCGCTGATTTAAACAAACCAGGCAAGTTTCGCCCTATTTAAAGTTTCAATTTATTTGGCCCCCTCACACATTTCGCCCCACCACTTCTTTTCGGGTCTTTATGGGTGATATTTAAGAGGCAAGATGTTGGAGGGGCGAAATGTGCCACCAAGTTTTAGAGGGACAAAAATTTCGAGGAAGAACCGCGCATCGCCCAACTAAAAGCTGCATTTGACCAAGCTCATCGAGAAATTGTTAAAAGGACACGTTTGCTTTGAGATGCCTAACAAATTTAACTTTATCGCTCTTGTTCAACCTCAAATACGGCTGTCTGAAAAACATATATCTCAGCAAGATTCGTGAAACTCTACAAAAAATCTCATGAATTAATCAAAATAGACAAAAAAGCATGTACTCACCGGGTGCGAGTGAAGCGCATGTCCGGTTCATCCTCCCCTAAGACTCCAAACTTCCTCGCAAAGTAGTCTACCAAATGAGGATCTCCAAAGGGGTTATACTCTGGCATTCTGCACAATCTGTTCGTCCCACTCAGCGCCTTATCTGGAACATAAAAAAAACAATAAAACCTGAGCAACCATTAATTAGGCAAACTTTTGCAGATAGAATTTTTAAAATGCAAGACTTTACCATGACACACGGAAAAAAATTAATCAAGTGTCTCTTTATCAGAAACTTTCAGAAACCGCATGGACTAAATTAGTGCCTCCAAAGAAGATCCACTATCACTCAGGAATAACCGTCTGCTTTTGAGTTAACCTTGAGCTTGAAAACTGAAAGATGAGGGTGAAGAGTAAACCACAGAGACAGATCGTCTATTAGAGAGTCCTCCTCCTCCTCCTACAGCACTTCTGCTCCTATGCTGCACTTGGTCTTGTCTCCCTCGACCACCGCCAGCACTGGCCACTCTGCTACTCCTAGCAGGCACTGCAACACACTCGTCATCCAATCTCAATCTTTTTACATTTTAAATCAGCAACTTCAGAACTCCAAAAGACCTGTACAGAGATTCGAACTTTTCCCCAGTACTCTACATGTAGGTCTTATTTTGTGCAAGACCATTAAGTGATTTTAATTTAAACATTGCTCAATTAAAATTGCTTCAATATAGCAGTTCAAATAGACCGTTGCATTGAATTATCGAAACAGTCTATTATCATCGGTCTTTAATTTTCCGTTGCGAAGTATTGAATTGAAATAGTAAAACAGAACTTTTTGAATTTTTTTCCACATCGAGAGAAAATCATCTACCGCACTCATTTTAATTGAAAATTTAATATCGATATTTTTTCGAGAACTTGACTTTCCTAAATATGTAACGTTTTTCTCCTTAAAGCATTCATAAAATCGGGTTTCTCGATTGAACGCTTGACCTGAGAATTTGTACGGTAACTTTGGAGTTAATTTAAAAAAAAAACTTCAAAAGTCAAGTTTCAAACTTTCACTTGTTTGAAGGCCATAGCTATTTTTTTTAAAAAATCGGCATAGACAATAATAAAGGCAAGCTTCCAACAACCTGTTGAGTCGGTTGAAAATATGATATCAGATTTGGCAGGATAGTTATCGAGAAAACGGTCAAAAAACCGTCGATTTCAGAAGGCAATAACTTATGGTGTAAAAAGATTGGTCGTAGCACCTTATGACGGTGGGCTTTTCAAATCCATTCTATTCATTGAAACCAAAATCTTAGACTTGGTAGGTAAATTTTTGAGAAAACACAAAAATCAAAAATATCAGCCAAGTATCACTTTTTCGAAGACTGCAGGCAAAAGTGTAGAGCAAAAAGAGACCAGCTGAGTATGCAGGCAGACAAATGTATGTGCAGTGTTTCAGAAGCAAGCGCCGATCTAGGATTTTTTTCGAGAGGGCGGATTTTTGAAAAAAAAAAGAATTTTTTGTCGACCTTTTCTAGATCGCACAAATTGATTTTCCGAGCTCTCCTAAAGCATTAAAAAGACTGTTTTGGTTAAAGTTTCTGCTCTGCAGGCAAAAACTTGGGAAAACAGGCCATAAGACTTCTTAAAGCACCTTTTGCAAAACTCAGATAAAAAAAATTGCGTTTTTCCGGCGCGCGCTCCCACAAAATTAATATATATTGGCGCCTTTAGCAAAACTTTGGGATCCGTCGTCATAAATAGATATCTCAAAATAGTACAAAGGGGAACCCTATGGGTAGGCAGGGGGTTGAAGCCTTGAAAGGAGAACGTTCGCCCCCACCCCCACCTCCTCCCCCTCCCCCTTTATGGGGATCAATAGTTAACAAATTAAGCCACTAAAAAATCTGAAAATTGAAATTAGAAGTCAATCACGAGTTTTGTGACCTCTACATTTGCTATTCGATAATGGAATTTAACTTTAAACAATCGAAAGCAAACCCCCCAAAAAATCAACTTTTTGCTGTTTCGACCTTTTTTCTGCTGAAAACGTTAAAAGCCAATACATTTGGAAGAGTCAATGAACGCAAATAAACAAAAAAATACTTCAAAATCTCAACTACGAATTTCAAAGAACAAAATAAGAAAAATAAAAAATGTTTTGAAAACAAAATGCTTTTGAAATGTCGATATCCATCTCATTCGACAACACTCTATAGGTCCATGAACTTCCTTCTGAAGATAAAATATATTCTGATACATATGCTTCCCACTCACTTTGATGGCTAGTGCGTATTGGTCGAGGTTGATTGTGTGGGAATTGGGCCGGAGAGGGCTTCAATTTAACCCAGTAGGGGTCGAAACCCGAATAGTAGCTAGGGTCTGTATCGCAACGCATTGCACACGCCACTCCGATTCCACTGGCTGGTACATTGTACGCTACTGGCATTGTGCAATCTATGGGCGAGTAGGTATGACGTCACACAGTCTTACAATACTCTGGAACCCTTATATCTGATGACACAATAGTATCAAAAATAAAACCCTGGTTTTGAATGCGATTAATTATATGTTGATACAACAGAAGCAAGTGATGGGTAATTTTACGGCAGCCAAATCAATTAGCCAATTCGGAATCAATTCAAATGAAGATCTGTGGTATAGGAATATAGAATGAAGGCTGATTGTTTTCTGTCTTCTACGAAAAAGTGGCGAAAACATGCAGATGAATGATTTGGGGCAAACATTTTTCGATTGGAGTACATTTATATCTGAAACACCCACAGGATTATACTATCAAACTAACAGAACAAAACTAAAACAACCAGAGCAATGCAAAAGCAAAAAAAATGAATTGCTATTTTTTTTATTTGTTCTATCATGCCCATTAATCTTCACTGCGGCTTTATTATTGTGTCTCTACTCAAAAAACAGTGTCTTCACTAAAAAACGACTAAGCCAATCTTTAAAAAACTTCAACCAATAATTTCCATCAGCAATAAATTGCCAAAAAAACTAATCACATGATTTTGAGAAAAAAAGCTCGATAAGAAAAATGGGAGATAGAAATCAAGTTATAACTAATTAACCAGCAAAACATCGAAAAAATCTAGATATAAACCACTGGAAAAGCGGAGCTTCGTAACACTAACGACACTAAACAAAGCATTGTCAGCTAGCAGACAGAAAATGAGGCTGAAGCCACTAAGTCAAATAATCTACAAAAAAATCATATAAAATTGTCTCGAATGATATTCAATTTGCGAAAAATTTGTCAAGCAACACAACCACTAAATGAGCATTAAAATCTTGTATCGAAGGGCACACATGTGAAATGCTACAGCAGATCGTGATCATAACAAAAGAGCCACCAAATGAGCACTTTTTTGCGAGTTCGGCGGACAAAAAAGTTGAGTCATACTAATACACTACACGATTCCGAGCTCACGTGTATTGAATACTGATGAGCATCAAACTTCAAACACTTGTTACTTGTAAATTACAAATGTTACGTGTGCTTCGACGAATTTTCAGACGTAATTGATTGAGTTCTACCTCAAAAACCATCAGATTTTTTTATGTGGCAATCTATATCGCTTGCATTTTCTTTATCTTATGTTGAAGACACGTTTTAATTTCGGGCAACATCTTGCAAAGTAGATGACATCGCTTGTGATACGAAGAAAATAAGGTAAAAATTTGAGAAAACTGGATCAATAGTTAACAATATTAAGCCACTGAAAAATCTGAAAATTGAAATTAGAAGTCAATCACGAGTTTTGTGACCTCTACATTTGCTATTCGATAATGGAATTTAACTTTAAACAATCGAAAGCAAACCCTAAAAAAAATCAACTTTTTGCCGTTTCGACTTTTTTTCGCTGAAAACGTTAAAAGCCAATATATTTGGAAGAGTCAATGAACGCAAATAAACAAAAAAATACTTCAAAATATTAACTACGAATTTCAAAGAACAAAATAAATGGCATTGAAGCTAGAAAAATTTTTGATTGACACTTTGCTGATAAATATTAACGCAATTTGAGAAATCTGGATCAATAGGTAATTTTTTCAGCCAACTGGGAAATCTGAAAAATAAAATCCACATTTGAAACTAGAAATTGATCGGGTTTTTTTTCGCTCCATTTCCGCGTTCGTAATTGTAGAGCGTTATTTGCCGAACTGCCAGCAAATGGACATTAAATGAACTCGAAAAGAACGCAAACACCCAAGTGCATTCATAAATTCATTAATATGTATGATGCACTGCATTTATTAAATATTTGTTTACTTTTCCCGGAAAAAAATCATAACGACCTATTTAAGAGTCTGAACTATGTTCATCGACTCTTTAAAAACATCACGACCTATAAAAGTGTCTTCATTGCGTTCATTAACACTTGGTCGAAAAGAAGCTCTAAACAACAAAGAATTAGCTAATTACGGTAATCGAACCATTGACCTCCAGATTATGATGCATTCGCCGTCGTGACTGATCGAACTGTCCTAGCTGTCATAAATAAATTACACAATATCTTACAGTCAACGAGAACAGCCGATTACTGTGTATATAGCAAAGAATGTTCCGACCAAAGTCTCACCAAAAATGCAACTTTTTTTTAAATAAGTGTCGTTAATTTAGGCGGGGTGAAAAAAAAAACATGACTAGAAAAACGAAAAAAATCAGTTTGTTTGCAGTTTTTTGAATTTTCGATTCCAAAAAGGCGATTAAACACACGAGTTATAGGAGCAAAACTAAATTTTACACAGACGAAGTTGCACTTCGCATTCACAAGCAAAAATATGACCGATAACGCTACTGAGAAAAACTGAATGAGTAAAATTTGAGCCTACAAAATTTTCAAGTGACGCAGACCAATTATGACGCATTAGCAGTACCAGTCAATTTGAAAACAAAAAGAAAATTACCAACTAACATGCCTCAATTGATAGAGCAGTCTATGGAGCAATAATGGCATAAAAATAAATTTAAAAAAATGAAAATTTAAATTTTAAATTGAACTTTTTTTTGTGAAAAGCATCCCCCCACACGCCATATTAAGTACAAAATGATTGATTTTGCTCCTAGGAACAAATCAATTATGGCAAACAAGGTTCCTTCAACCATTTTGAAACGATCTCTATGACGAATTAAATCTCCGCTTACGCGTTAATAGCGCGAAATAGATCGCGCGTTTATTGTCCGAAATTGGCCATTTTAAAACCCCAATAGCTGTACGAAAACTGAGCACAAGTAAAATATTTCTTCAAATTTAAGCTCAGGAGAACAAAACTTTTGAATAATATAAAAATATCCCGTCAAAAAGGTCTAGTTAAAAAGTCGAAATTTGTCTGAAGAAAAAAACTACCCCGAGCACAAATATTCCGTTACTTTCATTAAGAAAGTCGGAACAATAATAGTCTGCGTTAATATCCTTAGCATTGGCTGTACTTAATAGCTTGTTATTGATCAAAATGAACACATTTTATCGCAACAAAATTTTCTATTTAGGTTGGAAAAAAAAGACAATTCATACTATAACAAGCATTGCTTGTTAAGCAATTAAATTAAGCTATTGCAAGCTTTTAAGCCATCAAAATTAGCTATTGTAAGCCTGCTAGCTTACTTTCTCCGATGATTATTTGTGGCAGCTGATATTGCGTGGAAAACAAAAAAAAGCCAACTGACTGTTGGAAAAGAGTCATGAACGCAAAGAAACAGAAAAAAGCTTACTTTCTTTTGAAAAAATCTCAGCCTTCGAATTTCAAAGAAAAAAATAGATAGCAACAAACAACCTTGCATTTCTATAACAATATAAAATAGACAATTTTTTCATGAAGTTAACCCAATTTGAGAAAACCGGATTAATACGTAAAGATTTTCTTCCACTGGGAAATCTGATAATTAAATTCAACTTTCGAAACTAAAGTCAATCCTTTTGTCCTGACTTTTACACTTTTGCTGTTTGATATTGGAGTTTGACTTCTTTTCGGCAATGGAAATGCAGAGCTTGAAAAAAAATAACAAATCAAACCCCGAAAAATCAAAATTGAGCGTTATCAAATTTTTAAGACTTTTTACTGAAAAAAAAACAACAAAAAAATCACAACGACCTTTACAAGAGTCTTCACTACGTTCATTAATCCTTAAAAAACGAAAAAAAAAAACAAACACTCACGAATTCAAAGTTTCTTCCCTTTTTTCAAATGGTCGGAACAATAGCAGGCTCTATAATACAACGGATAACAAATTTGGTACAAAATCGATCTCCCATGAAACAGTAAAACTACTCTTAAGAAATACAGAAAATAATTATCGTCTCCACTGTGTAAACCGTCTCAAGAACTCGTGTTTGCTGTAAATTTGATCAGACTAATTCCGCGTAAATTTCAGTTGAATCAAACGAATATATATCATAACCATTGAAAATTCAAAATCTTATTGAGATATGTTCTGTTCTAACTATGCAAAAATTTTCATACGGTCAAATACTAATTAAAATTTCGAGAAATTAATTAGGAAATATAACAGCAACTCAATTCGGTTAAATCAACCAACATGAAAATTGAGTTCCAAATTGGTTAACGAAAAACTTATTAATCGTGGCTTTAGACGATTATGTTAATGAAATAACAGCTTAGTAAACCACCAATTTGATTCTATAGTGCGTTTCCGCTTATTTGCGCTTGTAATCGCGTATATTTAGAATGACACAAACAACTGTGTGATTTAAAAGCAATTTGTTTTGCTTACCAGTTAAATTATAGAAACCTTAATCAAAGAAAAGATTTAACATGCGTCAGCTGTGTATGAGACACAAAACTACAATTTACACAGCCAATCTCATTGCATCTGTCGTGGGAAAACTATGATCTCCGAAATGTATTGTTCTGATCAAATATTCAAAAAATTCAACGAGAATCTGTAAAACAGGTTGCAACACAAATCAGAGATTTCGAACAAAAACAATAGACCAAACTGCAGCTTTTTGAAGCCACTTGTTATCCTTTGTTTCCCTCCCGTCTCCAGAAGGGTCACTGAGAGGAGTGAGAGGCTGCGCGTCAAGATTGAAGTCTGTAGAAGTTCCGAGTATTCCAGGTCGTAGACTGTGGGCATGGTATGGAGAGCATACATTACATGGTCACTTTAAAATCCACCAAAATAAATAACAACAAAAGGAGAGCATTAAGTCCATGGTTTCTAATTTCAAAAACAAAGCTACAGTTAAAACTGCACAGCAGATGAGTATCGCAGAGAAAAGGACTTTAGAGGGATTGAGTTTCTATCTCTACTTGTTGGCCTTAGGGTTGTTTGGAGACCTGTACTGGCCGACGATGACTGCGTGATCTCTCTCGTAAGGCTCAAGCGTCACTTGCTCGATGGGTTTGATCTGTTCGGCCTTGAACTTCTGAAGCTCGCCGGCGAATACTGCTTCGGCTGGTGCAGTGCTGTCTATGCAGTTGGCTTTGATACTGAACACAAATTGAAAGTCAAAAAACCAGGATAGTTGGTTCCTTTGTAAGTAGAATACAAATTCCGACCAGTGATTTAAAAAAAAATTCTGGTTCAAAAATGTGTTTTTCTGCTTGCCGCGAAAAGAGGAACAAAAATAAACCTAAAATTTTTTTATTGGCCGGATTAAACTACAAATATTGTTGCATTTTAATTAAAAGCGATTTAAAAAATCATCCAGAAAAAGAAAGTTTTCGTTTATGCACGCAAAATGCAAAACTAAACTTCATAAACTGCTTATTGAAGTAAAATTATGTAAGTCAGCGAACAAAGCCACAAGACGACGTCAATTCGCAATGAAATTTAGCGCTAGCGATAATAATGGTGTTAAACTTTTACCTAACAACAACGTGTCCTTCGTTTTTAAGGAAATGATGTGCGTTGAGAGCCACAATTCGAGCTTGATCCGGTTGAGCAACATCAGCGAAGATGCAATCGACCATTGGTACCAACATACGGTACTTCAGGGGATGTCTGGCATCCTCCACGATCGGCGCCACGTTGGTTCGTTTCTGACTCATGTCCAGCAGATCTCGACCGCTGCGGTGACTGAACTCTACTGCGAAAACCATGCCTTCCTCTCCGACAATGTCACTCACGTGACTCACTGTCGTTCCGGAGGCAGCGCCCAGATAAAGCACTTTGCTACCAGGCGCCATGTGGATATTCTCTACTCCGTTGATGACAGCCGCACACAGCTTTGATCGGAAAGGGTTCCACACTCTGTACTCAGTTTTCTACACAACATAAGGACATATATGACAATAAAATCTTCAAGTAAAGGAGCCCTAATTGGTTGAGCTTAATTTTTTTTTTACTATATTTTACGATCAACACTGATAAGGGATGAGCTTAAACTTTCAAGAAAAAATGTTTTGTAGCATCTAAAATTACTATGCTCTGCTATGATCAACACTTATCCATGGTCTTCTAAAATTCCGACACAAGGTTGTTTTCAATATTGTAGGCGCCTAGAGTGCCCTGATAGATTCAAGTTCCACTGCATTCACTCAACTCAATTTTAAGTGGATTTATTAACATTAACATTTATTAACCTCTTTTATTTTTAATGGCATCATGTATTTCGATTTTAATTTTGAGAGCTTAACTTCCCGCTCTAATAGAAATACTCTGAAAATTAAGGACATTAAAATTTCGCACTTCGGATGTTGTCGGATCTGATATCTCAATTTTTTTCTCCCCATATACAACAACTCCTGGTGCAAGATTGCGAGTGCAGACAACTTCGTCTTTTCCTTTGCCGATGAAAACTCCGGGGTGCCGATGTGGCTCTACGTGCGCTTTACCAGCTCCTGGTCCTCCCCGTCCACCGCCTCTGCCTCCCCCACGTCCTCGGAAACCACCACCGCCACCACGACGATCGCCTCTATCTCCCCCTCGTCCTCGGAAACCCCCGCCACGATCGCCACCTCTGCCTCTGAATCCGCCTCTGTCACCAGAGCCACGGAAACCGCCTCTTCCTCTGTCTCCGAACCCTCCTCTTCCTCTATCTCCAACACCTCCTCTCCCTCTGCCCCGGAAACCTCCTCGATCTCCACCGCCTCCGCGCTCTACTCCTCGGAATATGCCCATATCAGTCAAATCTGAAAAAATAAATATTTATCTAAATTTTAAGTACCTCGTTGTTTGTGAATATCATCCTATGTTAAATAGAAGGCAAACTGGGTTCACAGAAGGCATTGAAATGTTCATAAAGAATATTTTCTCTATTTGGTGCAAATGAGGTTCAACAGATTTGACTTGTTGCAGAGGCGAAGTGGAGCCGCGCAAAACTTGCGATACAGATGTAATATTCATTCATTTTTGTAATGGCCAATTAAAAGAGGCCCTTTCCTCATACAACGGCCCATGCACAAGTTGATAAGGTTATAACAAGGCTACATGCACGCATCAATTAGGATCAAAAGTTTTGTTTTCGGGTGTTTTAAGTTTTTTTTGTTTTCCAAATTCAGGTACCACAAATAATCATCGGACTGGGTTGAGTGATAAATCATATAACTATTTCAGTCGTGATTGGAACATTTAAAAATTTCATTAAAATTTTCAGAGTCAAGAAAAACCGGTTTGAATTTTTAGATTTTTGGTCTAATTTCGAGCTAGTTTCCCCGTCAGTTGTTTGTTCTATAGTGAAGTTGTGCAATCACAAGCTATTCTCCGTGTGCACTTGTGCCATTCCCCCGGATTGGCACAGTCGAACCCTCCGACGAAAACGAAACGGACATTAGTGACGTTAGAGACGAATTCGTTAAGAAAAAGAGGGTCAGAATATTCTGGAATTTTTAAATTTTCGATTCTCAGCAGATTATTTCTGAAAAATGCAGGAACGACCATTTAAAATGGAAGAGAATAAAAACAGAAAAAAAAGACGCCGATAAAACAATTTGTGAAGAAAGCAAGAGGAAAAACGAAGTCTCTTATCGTGACGATCAGACACGATAAGGCACTTAGCTGCAGCAGATAAGAAAGGAGGCTTCAATGGGACAGCCGGAGCGGATCGGTACCCTCCCGTGCCACGAGATTGGAGAGATAAGAGCTTTATCTCAGGAGGAGAACGGAATTGGAGGCCCGGTGTCTGCCCTGTTGTGATGCCCTGAATAAGTGAACTGAATCTGATTTTATATAAAATTTCAGAGCATGAGTAGCTAGAGAGAAGGAAAAGTCAATCCATCCCCAATGGATTCAGTTTATAACTGTCACTAGATACATAGTCAAGGATGGGCTCTGAGCCGTGTTTTAATGGTAATCACGTAGTCTGGGGATCCGAGACCCAGCTATGTGTCCATTTTCGCATGTAACGAAAGCTGATCAAAAGTCGTTTGACTAATTGCCTAAAAAATGGTAACTTTTTACTTGGCCCTGAACAGACCAGACAACTAACTGGCTAGGTCTAAACGGTAAAAAAAGAGTACAATTAAGTTAACTGACGCCTGCCACCCGTCAATAGGTGCTTTTTCACGCTCCTTCACTGCGTAATGTCTGTATTAATGTTTAATTTAGAACCAAATCTTAAGTGAATTCCTAGATATAAAGTTTTTAAATTGATTTTTATTGTCATTTAGCTTATTTGTTTTTGTAACAAATCCTGACAATGCACATAGTTGCGAAAACGTTTGAAGTTTATTTTTCAATAAAATTCCTTCAAACTGATTAGGAAAGTATTAAGTAATTGCAATAGCTGAATTGAGCTTAATTTAAACCGTGCTTACTCTAAGGTTTACCCAAATAATGTTAATTTTTGGTGTTCTTCAGCGCAATTTTGGAAATCAAAAATTTTCGTTTTTTTTGGTCATTTTTCTTCAAAGATTGTTTCTCCGGCTTTCTTATTTTTTTTAAAAAAAACGGCTGTCCTTGTTACAGCTGTGCCTTTCGACCAGAATGCGATCTGTTTTTTTTAAATCAAAAACAATACGTCGAAATCAACAGTTAACAACGTTTTTGGTATTGTGAACCAAAAAGTAACGGTAACGAAAAAATAACGTGATTTTTTCAGTTTTTCGAGTGTGCATGACACGTAACAATCTGGTTTTTTGAAGCAATTGAAACAACAAAATCAGAACAACGATTTTCGCGTATCTGATTAACAAGACAGCAACTAACGAGAAGGTTGAAATTGAGAATAACGTTCGATCGATAACAGAAGAAAAGAAGCCTACAGAGTTGAAACGATCGTGCAGCTAAAATCGCTACCGGATCTTTTTTGTGCAATCTGCAAGTCCAAAGACGATAAAACAACCCTTCCCGATAGTTGAGAGAGCGTTTTTTCAGCAAAAATGAAGAATTCGAATGGATCTGGAGTTGTGCGTCAGGATAGGGTGAACAATTTCTACTGGACAAAAACAATAGTGAGGCAACCCTGTTCTGAGGAGTAACATCACTGCTGGGGATGACGAGACTCAACCATTAAATCACTACTTTTTCATGCATTTTTAGCTAAGCAGAATAGTTCGGCCGATAGCCTCTAAATTGTACAAGGTTCGTTTACACAATTTTTTCTGAATGTGCCAGTCGGTCATATCTGGAAGTTTGAACTTGAGAGACACGAAAATACGTAATTTTGGAGTGAAGTGTTAATTTTCAAAATTTCGAATGGAGCCTGTCATGCTCAGTTTTCTCGTACCAACTGAAAACAAAAAGTGAAAAATCAGAACGACCGAATTTTTAATTGCGGGAAAATACTCAAGAAAAAAAAGCAGTAAATTGCTATTTGCAATTTCCCGATACAAAATAATACACGAGTAGAGCTGTCTTATCCCGAAAAAGGAGGAGAGATAACAAAAAGAAGATAGAACAACTATTTGAAACGAACTAGAGTGAGCCTTCAATGGAAAGGCGGACAGCTTGAGTGTCCCAATGGTTCACACAAAAACTCCGATTCTAGAGCCAGAACGTGCTTCTGTTATCAAAACTGATCAGTATCAAACTTATCTAGTTATATTATCTAATTCTAGAGTTGCTTACCAATTTAATTACTCCTTGTGCTCGAGTGCATCAACATGTGAGTCCCCAATTTATGTGCCAGTCGGTCATGTCTGGAGGTTTGACCTTAAGAAACACGTAATTTTGGAGTGAAGTTTTAATTTTAAAAATTTCGAATGGAGCCTGTCATGCTCAGTTTTCTCGAACCAACTGAAAACGCAAAGTGAAAAATCAGAACGACCGAATTAACAATAGCGGGAAACTACTCAAGAAAAAGGCAGGAAATTGCTATTCGCAATTTCTCGATACGAAATAATAAGAGAGTAGAGCTGTCTTATCCCGAAAACAGGAGAATAGAACACAGACTTGAGAAAGGACGATTATTCGAACGGAACAGAGTGAACATTCAATGGAAGAGAGGACAACTCGAGTGTCCCGATGGTTCATTCAGAAACTTTTTGATTCTTGAGACAGAACTTACTTCTGTTGTCAAAACTAATTAGCATCAAATTGTTTAGTTATATTATTCAATTCTCAAGCTGCTTATCTTTTAGTTACTCCTCATACTCAAGTGCATCGACATGTGAGTTCTCAATTTAAATTTCTCGAGTGTATTTTATGATAGTTATGTTGAGATAAGGCGAGTTTTAGGTTGATCCATCTGAAATGGATCAAAGTTCCACTGTCCAATAAAAAGTAACTAAGCGGATTGTTCCGACCCGGTTTTTAGCGGCGTTCATGTATTTTGGGTATTTCGAGACCTAAGTATGGGGACGTTCTTATTTCTAGAGTGGGGGGGGGGGTATTTTGGTAGTGGCCTTTAAGCTGTAACGGGTTCTAGTCTCATGTCGCAAGCGAACCGAATTCGCTCCGACCGTTCTTGAGGTAGAAAAACACAAGAGATAGTGTCCCTGACTCTTGAGCCAATGGTTATAGGGCCTATTTTTCTTAAGCCTCATATGTGACTAAAGTAGGCGACTGTTACATTAATTTTTTCGATTGTGTTTTATGATTGTTATGTTGAGATAAGGCGAGTTTTAGGTTGATCCATCTGAAATGGATCAAAGTTCCACTGTCCAATAAAAAGTAACTTAACGGATTGTTCCGACCCTGTTTTAACGGCGTTCGTGTATTTTGGGTATTTCGAGACCTAAGTATGGGGACGTTCTTATTTTCTAGAGTGGGGGGATATTTTGGTAGTAGCCTTTAAGCTGCAACGGGTTCTAGTCTCATGTCGCAAGCGAACCGAATTGGCTCCGACCGTTCTTGAGGTAGAAAAACACAAGAGATAGTGTCCCTGACTCTTGAGCCAATGGTTATAGGGCCTATTTTTCTTAAGCCTCATATGTGACCGAAGTAGGCGACTGTTACATATTGTTTTTATGGCGCTCCTGGGTGTTTTTACGACATCATGACTACGGGGTCGAACCCACTTGACACAGCTCCGGGCTGCATGCCCATTCTAGAGTACCGGTGGTACGGTTCAGCGGGAACGTGTAAACCTCCCGGTTGTACCGTGATAGCTTTTTAAGAAAACTTGAGAAAACTTCCTGGTACGCTCTCCGAACGAGGCCTAGCTAACCGAGTAAGGGGGGGCAACTAGGGGGACAAAAACAACAAAAAAGTATAGAAAAAGGAACAAAAACCATAAAACGAAAAGACAGTGACTTTGATACCGGATCACTTGGATCAAACCTTTAAATTAATTAAATAGTATACCCATATTGTTTTATAAGACCGATCGTTTCGATCAATCTAGCAATTCAAACCAGTGACTTCAATAAGGTGCCCGAGTGGGGGGCGTTGTTAAGGGTTTTCAGATAAATTGCAACTTAGCCGGACCACTAGGAGACTTGACTGGAAAGGGTGACCAGCCGAGTGGGAAAGTGGTTCACAAGGATCGAACCGGACCACTAGGAGACTTGACTGGAAGAGGTGACCAGCCGAGTGGGAAAGTGGTTCAGAAGTACTGAGCTGAACCCACTGGAAACTTGACTGGAAGAGGTGACCAGCCAAGTGGGAAAGTGGTGTTGCTGTCAAGTGCAGAACAGAGACAACCAGCACAGGATCAATACAAGAGGACGCACAGGGGTGTTCTCAAGTTGGGCAACGGGTATCGTTAGAATCCACATTACTTTTTAGGAGATAAGTGTAAAATTGGATAAGCAGAGCCCCATTGTTTTGAGGAC